ACTCAATACAAATAAAGGTATTTATTCAATAATTGCCATGAGACCCAAAACCCAATGTCCTAACTTGCATTAGCTGGAGCACCCAATCTCTCGTTTTGTATATTCTTGCACAGAGCGTGCCTCGGTCGAACACTTCTGGAAATATTGTCCTTGATAACAAATGCGCGAAACTTGTTCGACAGCTAAAGCAACGTACTGGCCTATAGAACTAATGGAACCTTATGACTGGCAAGAGACTTATATTCTTTTCAGGGGGGCTTCACGTTAAATAATCGTGAAATTGATATTGCATGCGTAGTAGAGGCCCTGTTGTTCATCTTGCTACTGCTACGCTTCCCGGCAGCAAGGGAGATATAGATATGAGATCTAATAATTGTAGTATTCCGTGCGGATAACGCTGTATTCCGAGGTGCGCGGCTACTTTTCCGTAAGTTCTACTTTGACATCGGATATGTGTCCGGTCGGTTCTCGGGCGTCTTTGTGGCTGTCAGGGTGCCATCCGGTAGTCGAACCGATGACTACCTTGTTGTTTGGAATAGTAATCCAACCTCATACAGGAAGACGTGTCGCTTATAGGTGACGGGCCCGATGGGTCGGTGCAGGCGCCAAGCAGAGTGTCGTGCTTTACTCTGTGTAGCTCGAAATCCGAGCGTTTATCCGTTGCCTGTGTGGGCTGTCCAAGCCGTAATCTCTTTCGATGGATACTCTTTTGATATCCAACGAGATGCTCCATGGATTAAGTCAACGTTCTATCGTTGTGCGATGAAATGCCGTCCATAGAACCCTTCAAGCCGCCGCGGGTTGTGGGTTGTTGCCGACCGTTTTATACAGGTCTCTCAGCTCGAATTCTTCATGCGCACCATCAGGCAGCTCTCCTACAACACGCCCTGGCTGGCCAGCAACGATGGAGAAGCTCGGAATGACCATGTTCGCGGGAACAATCGTCCCGTCCAGGACCTTGACGTAGTCCTTGATGATGGCAAACTCGTTGACCACGCAGCCTTTTCCAATGTACACGTGGTTGCCTATGCTCGCAGCCTGCACCACCGTTCCCTGCCCAATAAAGACATGATCGCCAATCCTCAGCGGCATATATGTAAAGACGCCCTTGTAGATACGACCGGGCGGCCGAAGCAGCACACTACGGGCCAGAAAGCAGTATCGACCGATGGCAACGGCGGTGGTATTTGGTGGAGCGGCGCTTCCACCAGACGGCGGCTGGGCTGTTGCTGTTCGAACGAGATCGCCTCGGATCATGACTTCGGGCTGGATGACGGTCTTGCCGCCCAGCATGATGTTTTGCGTACCGACGAGGACGGCCTTGCGGGAGACCTTGTTACCGGTGTCCTAGTAGAAAGAAGGGATCGCTATTAGCAGATGTCGCGTCTAATTTGCAAGGATGCTGGCCAGGGAAGCTTCGTCTGCTGTCTTACGGTCTCGATGTAATCTCCTTTTGCTGGACGGCGCGACATTTTAGCGGTTGTGAGGCTGGTGTATGCAGATTGGCGGAAGCTGAAGGTCGATGGAGACGTAGATCGAGCTCGGCTTTGGAGGATGAAGATTTGGTGGGGGCGGCTGGAGCTTGAGCTATGGCCACCTAGAACACCACTTCACTTATATCAGCAGATCGCGAGGCTTGGCTTCATCTCTTTACATACACAGTTCACAAATGAATAAAGAGTAAACGTCGATTTGATTTATGCCATTTAATCTTTGCTACCTATCGATTAAAATTTGTTCGGCTATCTCAAGCCGTTAGCCGCATGATTAACGTACCCAGAGTTGATCATGTGCGGTGCTGCATGTTATTAACTTGTGCATCATTCCGATTTTGGGTGCAAAGACTTTCGGCGGGACCTAATATAGTATGGCTTCTTCTATATCAACCGGCTTCCTTACGCATTATAGCCAATCTAAACAGCTGCAATCTATTTAGTTCCAACACTCGAATCCTTTCTTCTCCTGCCTAGTCCTTTTCGGTTCGAAGCGTGGGGCATCTGCTACCTCGTTTGCAGACAGCGAGGGAGGCTAACGATGCTGTGATTTGATGGTTGTGCCTTGACTGTTGGAGGATATGAGTCAGGCTACCGCGGGAAATGTCTTGTACCAGTTTAACCACGAGGCAGTTTGAAAGAGTTTTGCGGCCTACGCGCATTTAAATCAAGAGTTGCTGCTTCTTCATGTTGTATTACATCAAAGGATATCTGCCTCGAATAATTCCCTCTACGGCAAAACTTGAGGAATATCACAGCCATGCGATTTCAATCAGCACTTGTAATTGTCTCGCTAGAGCCTCGAGCTACTCCGGCCAGCGAATCTACTCAGCTTAAACCGCCAGCAGCTGAGTCCACAACTCAAGCAGCCACAGCTCCAGTCTTCACATATGTAACTCCTCCAGCACCCTCAAACCAGCCACTCGACTCAATGCCCAAAGGCGACTCCGATTCAGGCTTCACACCACCGATTCAAGGGGGCGTAAGTCTTGGCGTATGTCTCGTTCTCTTGGTTGGCGGGCTTCTTCTATATCGCTTCAACAAGCGGAAGTCGAATAAACGCGCCAAAGCCAATCAAGATTCCACGTCAGCATCAGGGGACCCAGATTCTACAATGTCAGAACCGCCTGCACAGCGCATATCGAGCCGGCAGCGAGAGAAGATGCCAGCAAATATTACTGCATTTCAGACGACCGTGTATGACGACGAGATACGCCCAGTGACTCCTCAAAAGGCATTCTTCACATCGAAACAGGGGAGGCGGGCGGATGATGACTCGTCGTCGTTGATGATTTCGCCGTGTTAAAGTATAGAAGATATCAGAGCAGATGCTGTAAAGCGCGTGAATCATTTCAACGTTGAGTTTGATCCCCGGGATGCAAACAATATTCATGGGGAAGACAATTGGTATAGACCTGGGAAAGCCTTTCTATTGAGTTATCCATATGTATAGCAGCACCCGCAGCTTCGTGAACAGGGTTAGAGATTATGAACTGAGCCGGGTTAAGGCAGACCAAGTATTGCCTCACAAAATAAAAATAATGTGTAATAATCTTCTCTAGGCAAATATGTACTTCTTTGAGCTACGAGTACTTTAAGATAATTGTTAATATTGAACTTCTGCAATGTTGAATGCGCACAAATTGTTAGTGTGTGTATAGAACAGTCCAACCACACAACAATCACCAATACAACCAATTTTCTTCTATGTGGCTGAAGATTCGCGCATTCAATAAATGGCTTCTCGCTCAAAGGGCGGCTAAAAGTCGCCTGGCAGAGCCACACCGGCCATGTAGCCGCCTGTACTCGAAGTTTCATATTCGCGGCGCTTGTTCAAGGCAGACTTACTGTTTTACTTACAACTTGTTGGCCATGTACGACTCGGTTCGGGAACCAGCAAAAAATCGCTTCGTAAAGCTCTAGTATAGCCATTTGAGTTAAGCAAAGGGCATGTGTTTCGTCGTGACTAGATCATGGGTTATTGTTGTTGTGATACAATCGTTTTTCGGGTGTGGTTATAAGCCAACTGGAATCACGACATAGTATTCCTCCAATTTGCACAAAAGGTTAACTATTGCTGTATTCGGTCAACATATTGGAGAAAATGAGATTGCATAGACTAAATCGCCTAGTTGAAGGATGAGGAGGATGAGAACCTTGTACGCTAACAAGTTGAGCACAGTAATTTGACACCTGCGTCTGTGTAGGGATTGAGGACTGGGCTATCTCAACTCAGGAAGCGATACCTGGCTTGGTCATTAAACACAAGGCTTCAATTACAAACGATTCTCGACCTGCAGGAATTGTATTTACAATGCCAAGATAGTTTCTGGAATCAACTCCAGCGATAGACCTTCCGCATAGGAAAATCGGCGTCAGATAACGCACAACTTCACTTTGGGGCCCGCTTTCGGTTTTCGTTTCCTTCGTCTATCTCGCCGGCTCAAGACACCGTCCGCTGACAGGTGGAGACTCAAGACACTGAATGGATGGGGAGAGGGTTCAAGCCAAAGAGGTCCCATACTTTTTGGCGCGTCTAAAAATAGCGAGCGTGGTGGGCACCAAGATCGCCAAACGGTCTGTTTGGGGGACTCCGCGATCTATTCACAGCAGAACGCCGGGCGATAGTACGACATGCTAATGCTGCGAGTAAAGTAGCGTTGCATTCAATCGGATAGGATTTGATCCGAAGTGAATCTGCAGTGGGTGAGAAGCCTCGAAGCCTTGCGCGTGGTAGCACCAGGTGGCCCACAGCAGCTTAAGCCAGCGTGGAGCAGACACAGGGAAGATTGCGTGCAAAGAGACCTTGTCGGCAGCTCGATGCTACCGTAACAACCAGTAAGCAGAATATTACATGCCTATATTGGCTGAAAGGATAGAGTCCCCAAATATTGATTGCCTTCAATCTCTCTCCATAATTGCACCGGTGTAATATCGCCGTGTTAGAAAACCAAGAATCATCAGTCAAACTAGCAATCATTTTCAAAAACAGGAGCTCTGTTTAGTAGACTCCCCCAAAGCTTCCCATGCCATGTGGCTGAGCCGCGGGTATCAAACTTTCCGTCCTCAACAACAAAATCTCACGCAGACGCCAAGACCCTTTTGGAATCAAGCCGGCCTCATGGAATCTTTCCAGCCTTGCGTCTTTCTAGCCTAGACCTCCAGCCACGGTCAAAGCAGAAGCAGCCCGGGTCGCTAAGCGGCCAATGGCCTTGCTAAGCCCTGCACCCCTCCCACCCAAGCGCGACCTAACAGGGATATTTTGTTTTGCTAGGGGTCTGGTGTCTGTTCTAGCTCTTACTAGCAGCGAAATGCGATAGCTACAGTCTGTAGGATTCGACCTGGATGCATGTACGATATACGCGGGATAGGAAAGGCAAGATAGAGAAACTGCGTCTCGGATCGCCATAAACTTGAACATTTGAGAAAGAAGAAAAAAGGCGAGAATAAAACTCTCATCCCTTTTTCTCTGACCACAAAGGCAGCTGGGAGCATTCCCCCCCAACGCTAAAGTCCAGCCTTCACCTCGGTCAGCATTCTATTTTCAACGCTCCCAGAAAACCCGGACCCGACGGCCCCAGGTATGACCTCAATCCCATGACAACAATACCTGTGATTCCAAAATGCTAATTATACTGCAGCGATCGCCAGTGGGCGGTGACAAAGGCCGGAGATGTGTATTACCGGGTGGCTTATTCCTGTGATGAAGCCATAACAATAACATACCAACAAACAAGGAGAATTTGCGTAGTAGAGATCGTAGGCAGTAAGTGGCTAAGGCACTCTCTTTGCCGCCGCCAAGCCATGCCGTCTCACCCAAATCGAGTACTACAGAAAACAACAAGCGATTCTCAGCTCAATACGGCGATACCGATCGTACAGCCGCCAATAATAAAACAGAAATAGAAGAGACACAAAAGGAAGCAAATGTGCTTTTGTTTGGCTACTGCAGATTCCCGCAACCCGGTCCTGTCGCACAGAATCTGCAATGGCTGACACAGGTTGAGAAGAGTGGGATCGCAACTGGGTCCCTCTGTTGATCCGGATGCAGCCAGCCGAGAATGAGAGACACAAAGACGCCCCCAAGGAAAAAAAGAAGAAAGGGGGCGTCTCTGTAATACAATCTCGCCGTGAACTGTCCATCCACACACCATTCTATAGTCATCTTCTTGCTACCCAAATCCAGGCCCTTGCATGCTGCGAAGAAGCCCAGCTCTTTTTATTGTTTATGATTTAGACACACGCAGGATCTACTCCAGCCGCTCCAGACTGTTGATACCTGATGGATCTCAATACCAGCCCCAATGTTGAATACAAGTCCTCATGCTTGATACAAGAACTCGTCTTAAAATAAGTCCTGCTTAAAACAAGTCCTCGTACGAATTCAAATCCTCGCACAACTTCATTACACAGACCGCACTACTGCATCCCGCCGCTCTAAGCGCCCAAGCGGAGACCCTGACCATTGCGCTGGCCGTGGCTGCTCAACCACACCCTTCATGGGGGGGCGTGAGAAAGTGGTTCCTTGTGCTTACAGTAGTCCCGATTTCTATTTCTATTTTCTGCTCTCGTTCGGTTGTAGGGCCTATTCTAGCTCATTGTCTGCATGGCATGGCGCTGCCAGGGTCCTCTTGAGCCCATCTCGCCCTGCTTATAACTATCCTGAGCTTCCCCAGCTTCTCGGGTCGACAGCTCTCTAGTTCACTCCAGCTTCCTCTTCCCAAGGCTTGTCGTATACATACACCTCTGATTACCTACACGACCACCACTCATCAATCATCCTACTATCAGCAAGATGCTCGGCCAATCTCTATTTATCCTCGCCTCTGCGGCTCTGGCCCTCGGCTCTCCCGTAGAGAAGAGAGACGTTGTCTGCCGTTCTCCCATACCCGACCCTCCTCTGCCCACCACTGGCGGCGGTAAGTTTCACTTACAAGATTTGCTTTCTTATACATCTACATAACATCAAATGCTAATTCAAATTCCTCAGCCACTGAACTCCCTCCCGTGCCCGACAACCTCGAGCTCAAAGTCATCGCCCTCGGCCTCGGCATCCAAAACTACACCTGCGCCTCCGTTGGCGCCACCGCCGTCTCTACCGGCGCCCTCGCCATGTTCTACGACATCAGCCTGCTCTACCCGGAATCCGGCCCCAACGCGCTCACCATCGAAAAGTTCAACCAGCTGCCCGCCTTCGCCCTCAACCACCACGACATCCCGCTGCACTTCAACGACTCGACCGTCGGCCGCGTCAGCATCGAAGGCCCCGGCGCCTCTCTCAAGCGGCCCTTCACCCGCGCCGCGCCCCTCGACCTGGGCGACGAGTACGGCAGCATCCCCTTCCTGGGCCGCCACTTCTTCAACTCGGACGGCGCGCCCACCTTCATCCTGCAGCGCGGAAGCATCAACGTCGTCGCCGCCAAGAAGGCCTCCGTCCCGGCTCCTGGCAGCGCTGATCCCGGCCCAGCTGGCACCGGCGCCGTGGCCTGGCTGGCCCTCGACGCAAACGCAAACTCTCGCGGTGCTTCTCTCGTCTACCGCGTTGAGACTGCCGGTGGAAACTCTCACGGCTGCGCTCAGGCTGCTGGCCAGGACAGCACCGGCTACTCTGCCCAGTACTGGTTCTACGGCCCCAAATAAGAGGCTCTTCTCTTGCGTTCTATATTTTCCTTTTAATTTCTAATTTTCATTATTCTTTATACCTTTCTGATTGAACAAAAAGAATATTAGACAAGGGGCTTGGAATTGGATAAACTGGCTTTCTTTTTTTCATTTTTTTTTTCTCCGACGATTTACTAGTTATCCTTTGGGAGGAGTTCTTATTGGCAAAGCAAGACGACTTTTGGGCACCAATAAGAAAGATTTAGGCAAGCAAATGTATACATGAGTTTGTTTCTTGGGAGAGGTTCCTACCTCACTTGCATAGTTCCGGTCGTTTTAGGAGTTATTTTACGCATAGATTTCATGTTAGGAGAGAATATACTTACAGGGTTGTCCTTACAATCAAACACTCTGCTGTTCTCAAAAGAATCGTTGCAAGTCCAAAAATATGCGCCATTGGTAATTGGTGATTAAGACTGTTCAAAATCCACCACTGACCAGCTGATTCGCTAATTCGTAGCCTGGCTTTGGTTCAGCCCCCCAGTTCGCTTTAAAATCTCACGAGAACCTAGGTAGCATTGGCAATTTAACATCGTACGCCACAAGACTTGAGGCTAGATTATTAAATTCTCCTACATTGTATTCTATAATGTTCCCTAGATCCTGTCTTTCTTTACACTACATGGGCTGCACGGCCTAGTTCTATCGTTTAGTTACGACAACTACCGTGGAAGTCAGCCTCGCCTGTTAGTATCAGCACTAGGAAAAAAGAAGAGTGAGTTAGTTGCAACAACAAGGAGCAGACTTAACGAAAAGGATGGGCACAAAGGCTGTTTTAATCATTCAGAAAATTATGCTCGGATGGGCTATGGAAAGTGTATCGTAGATGTCCAGAATTCGTCCCAAGTTTCGCTCCATTTCAACACACGCATTTTGGCTGGCCTAATACTGTTTCCAGCGTCGGCAAACTTGCTTCCCAATAAAGTAACTCCCCTCTCTTGTATTTTCGCGGTTCTGTCCCATTGTAAATCCATGGGTGATGGATGGAGCCTTTTGACATAAGACCTCTTTATAACTCTTGTTTCAAACACCAATAGACATGCATGCTAAACTGTAACTTGATTGCTTTCAACGCATTTATCTCCTAATGTCCATGCCTGCTGCAAGATCCTGCTCAAGCCCGTTGGCGTGGCCCAAGTATTCCTGCGGTCGCGGATCTTCTGCCGTCCATTGACCACCAGCCTGGGGCATCGGGACCTGCATCTGCTGAGCGGCGGCTTGACCGCCAGAAGCAGGGGCTGTTCGCACAAGCTGTCGGAAACGCAAAACTTCATCCAGAATCATCTTTCGCATCTCACCAACATCCTCAACCACCTCGAAGTCGAAGTTGAACGTCGTGGGGCAGTCGGGCTCATCAGACGCATCGTGCCATATGTGAAGGTACGGGTGCTCGAGCGCCTGTTCGACGCTGATACGCTGCGAAGGATCAAAGGCAAGCATTTTGTCGAGAAGATCAAGGGCGTCGGGGTTGGCATCGGGGAACAGAGCTGGGAAGGGCTTCTTAGGCATGAATGGTAGGTTGCGGACGTATTCCTGGGCACGAGGCGATCCGATGCGGCGGAGGGTTTCCTCATTCGGTGTTCCGAGGATGTGCAGAATCTGATTAAGCTGGTCGACATAGTCACGACCCTTGAAGAACGGTCTACCTCCCAGGAGCTCAGCAAGAATGCAGCCCACAGACCATACATCAACTGCGATTTTGATTAGAATTCGTTCATCAGGAAGAATAATCCTAGGGATATGAGACCGAAATTAACGTACTAGCTTTTGTGTAGCTCTGGAAGCTCAACATAATCTCTGGCGCACGGTACCATCTCGTGGCAACATACTCAGTCATATACCCGGCATTCTCCTCGGGATCGACAGAGAAGCCACGAGCAAGGCCGAAATCGCAGATTTTCAACTCGCAATCGGCATTCACAAGCAGGTTGCCCGGCTTCAAGTCTCGGTGAAGAACGTTGGCGGAGTGGATGTACTTGAGGCCGCAGAGGATCTGGTAAATAAAGGATTGGAAGTGGGCATCTGTAAGAGGCTGGCCGGAACGAATAATAGCCGCCAAGTCGCACTCCATCAGCTCTATATGTATTGGTTAGCCATGCGGCCGTATATTGAACCGACATGTCCAGCCTCTGTAGGAGACTGTCCTGCACGATTCGCTTCGGTGGTACTGACCCTCGTAGAGGTATGTCTCGTTGAAGTTGTCTGGTCGCGGGATGTCCATATCATAGAGACATGTGATCTAGTAGGTTCCGTAGACGTCAGTTTCCGTGTAGAATATTCAATCGCAGTCGTCGTTCTGCTCGACAGGCCGGGTTGTCACTCACGTTGCGATGGCCGCGGAAGTGCTGCAGCAGCTTGATCTCGCGCAGGGCGCGCTTGGCGAGGATCTTCTTGCTGAAGACATTGGTAACCTTTTTGATGGCGACGCCCTCGTTGGTCTGTCCGTTGACCGCGGCGCTGTTATCGAGTCCTTATCGTTAGCAAAAAAATTGATCTCGATGATGGCGGTGGGGAGGGGCTCCAAGCCAGCATCAATAGCAGGAGACAAGTATCGTCAACAATATGCGGGGTGTAAGCGCCGGCAACTCACCAGACAATTCCATACGCTCCCTGGCCAAGCTCCTTGGTGACGGTGTAGCGCTCATCAACTACAAAGTCCTGGTTGAAGACCTTGAATACTTTGCGTCCTTGGAGATCCGCCATGGCTGCGCTTCTGGGAGTTGTTGCGTGAAGTGGCCTTGGATTTCTCGAGGCGTGTGGGGGAGAAGAGGGGTTTAAGTCTGCGCTGAGCCGCTGTGGGCTGGAGCTTTCAGGGGGGCTGTACAGTGCTGTCGGGAGCTTGTTCTGGGGCGCCAAAGCCGGGATCGACTGAAACTCAGGACTCTATCGCGGGGCCGAAACTAAGAGATGTGGACAAGTGATGGCAGCAACTCGATGCAAGTAGACAGAGAAGAGAGAAGGAAGAGATTGCGAGAACAAGTTTCAAACAAGAGCAGAGACGATCGACTAACAGCGTACGCGGCCAGGCTGCGTCTGAAGAAAATTAAAACTACATGCATGCACATACATACTCCATTGGGCATCCGGGCTGGCAGCGCGACCCGTGGTTGGCTGCGCCGTAATACGAAGCCCAGCAGAGCCTATAGCAACGTCCAGACAAACATCAGCTCGGCGGCACTAGCGAGCGCTGTGTCCTGGGTGGATAATGCGGTTGATGGATACGACGGCAACAAACCAGCAATCACGGTCGAGGCCAGCGCGGCAGCCAATCGCAGCGGGCTGCCGAGATGTGATGGCATCACTAGCCGCGCGCAATCAGGCCTGGCATATGAAGTACCCTCTTCCTCCTCTTGGCGCGTTTTGCAAGAAAGACTGGAATTGAGGCGTTTTCACGGGTCAGCGGTTCCATGTTAACCAAGGCAAGCTTTTCATTGTCAGATCGTGGAGTCGTCACATGCTTCATGACAGTTGCGTAGGTAATCTTGGCTATAGATAGCGCCACTACATTGCATCTATCCAGCTATGAGGCTAGAGTCTGATGTAACCCAATATGGCGGGGCATTAAGGAAGAGTTTTGACATGGAATTCACACCCAAGTTGGACTAAAAGACCTCTGCGTGGGATCTTGACAGAGAGGTGTTGATGGCTCACGTCCAGGGAGATGTATAGTAGATTGAGTCTCCATGTACCAACAGCCAGCCCGGCGGAGTGGGCCGAAACGAGCGGCAACGGCGGCCAGTGTAGAATTGAAGCAAAGTAATAGCCTTGGCAGGTTCTTCATATACACAAAGATCAATATTAGCGACTCGTTGGACCAACACGGCAGTTACTTTTACCTTTGTATACTGCTGATACTCGGCCATATCCAAACTCAAACAGCCAGTTATGCATATTCAACCCTACATCTGCCCTTGTGCATCTCCTCTGCATTGCCCTTGTCCTTGTCAGTTACCAAGGCTGGCCTATTCGCTCGACCGCAGCCACTCCCGAGACCCGCATCCCAGACCGGCACATCAACACTATCGCATCGCCCTGTCTAAGGCTGTCTTAGACAAGACAAGGGCTAGTGGAAGCAGACCAATCGCCGCTATAAATACGTCTGTATGGCGCTGCGGAAGCTCCTTCAAGGAGTCCCTGAGTGTCCGTGCATGTTCCCATACATCAGCTCGTCATACATCATCTCTCCTGGATGCAATCAGAGCCAATGAGATTGCACAACCGTAGAAAGGGGAGAATGGCAGCATCTCCAGGCGCAGGGTAATGCTCGGTAATTTAATCCGCCGCTCACCAGCGCCTTTCCACCAGCACAACTCCGTATGTGGGGTGCAGGTTCTATTCCATGTAAGGATAGACGGTTTACATGGCTCTATTATTACCAATTGACGTGCCAACCTCGACTTACCTCTTACATCTACGCCGTCTTTGACCAAACGCTCTCCTTTCTTTTCTCATACCTTCCAACTTGATTCGTGTGCCATTTCGAGCGTCAACAACATGTTTCCCGTGCGACCAAACCGAACGGCGTCCTTGACCGCGGCGCAACAACAAGCAGCGGTGCAGAGACAGGCCTATTTGCCCGGCCAACCCGTGTCGGTCCTGTTTGTATGTTTGGGCAACATTTGCCGGTCGACGATGGCAGAGGGAATCTTCAGACACATGGCGGCGCAGCCACAGTACAAGGACAAGATTGGAGATATTGATTCCTGCGGAACAGGTTTGTCACGGCCAAGAAGAAGCGATTCGAGGTGTTGGACGAGATGCTGACCATGACGTGCAGCTGCGTATCATGCAGGCGAACCACCGGATGACCGAACACTGGAAACTCTGGAGAAGCACGACATCTTCGACTACGATCACGATGCGCGCCGCGTAAGTTGGCCCTTGCTCTCACCATACAGCTTTCTTCAGCCCCCGGCATTATGCGATGGAGTACATGTAGCTGACAGACCACCGTCTAGATTACGCGAAGCGACTTTGACAGATTCGACTACATCTTCGCCATGGACCTCTCCAACCTTTCAGACCTCGAACGCCTCAAGCGCGAAAACAAAGACTCCAAGGCCAAGGTGATGCTCTACGGCGACTACAGTGGCACGAAGAAGCCTGAAGTCGTCAGCGACCCCTATTACGGTGGCCAGGATGGCTTTGACAAGGCATTTGAGCAGTGTTCTCGCTTTGCTAAAAACTTTCTGCAAGACGTGGTGGGCGAGGAAAAAGAAGAAAAATAAAACTACAGAACAAGATAAGAGACATGAAAGAAAGGGGGGTGGAAGGGAAGTGTACGTGCGCTTGCATGGGTAAATTTACCCCTGGTTTGTTTGTGTTTTATTTCCTTTGTGAAATGACAATCGGAGTAGATGGGAAACGGTGGGATTTGATACCCAACACTTTGTTACCTGGGATACGCGGATTATACTACACAAGTTATTAATATGCCTAGATATACACAAAGCATTTTGGGGGATACATGGTTTTGTAGATGATACAACAAGACATTGATTTATTTAATTAGAAACTCAGATTCGACATAATCAGAAGGAGGGTCGTTGGTAATACGAGTGCTACAATTTGATAGAACATTGACTGAAGAGCTTGTTTTGATACCTCCTTACCATTGAGATGATGCTTAAACCATGAACTGATCGGATCTGGGTAACTCGCGAGAATAGCAAGTGAGACTCTATATGATAGTTATATCATCTGATTCTCAGGACTATCAGATGCGCATGTAATAGGAGTTGATGATATTTGACTCTCTAGTCGAGAATTAATGAAGGTAGAAACAGTAAATCTACTACATAGGACGGGTGTCATGGCTAAAATTGTAGTGGGCAATTTAAATATTTCCCTTCAGTAGTATAAACTTCTTTCAAAGACTATGATTATCATAATCATGAATCAAATACTCTTTCCGACTTTTCATCGGATCGCGCGGATATCAAGAAAGGTGATCTTATGAACTCTCGGATCGTGGACCGACTACACCCTAGGATATCTTCTAAATCCATTGGTTCACTGATATGTCCTAGGGAAAGCCAGACAAATATTAAGAAACAGTAGTAGGAAGAGAATGGAGCATGAAACAGCCTCGTCGTCTCTTGTACAAACTTGGGATCCCCTGCGAATTTCCATCTATGGACCCGAAAGAGACGCTCTCAGTCCGATTCGCCTGTAACACTAATTGTATCGCTCTGCCATTGAGAGCAACAGCTGCAGACATAGAGATGTTTCACATTGGCCATGTTAACGCACCAAGCCATCTTCATAGTCTAGTTTCAGCCTCGGGGGATAACTAATATGCTTTGTAAACGAGCAATAGCTACATTATCCAGGCTCCAAAGACTTAATATTTGATCCCTGTTCTTTACTAAACTATTATGGCCCTTCAGTTTTCTCGCCATAAACAAGTAGGGTTCAAAGGTCAAAACACTGGATCGCTACGCTGCGTTTGCCGCTGGGGATCAATCCAATCTCTTTTACCAAAACTTCGAAGCCATAGCTTTCAAAATTCTGTCTACATTCATCGGTTCCAACGTATTATGCAGCTGTCAAGAGAGAAGAAAAATAGCATAGTATTTATCATTTCAGGGATCGTCTTAGTAATAGAAGTGGCATAGTAAGTCCGGAGGTTGGTCAGGATCTACTACTCTGAGTGAATGTGCCTGATCTGCTAATCTCAATCCATCAGTGCACTGTTCGAGTGTTGAAAACAAAGATGGCATAGCAAGTGTAAGTACAAAGAGAGGGAAAACAACATACATATCTGTACTGATCTTCATGCAGTGATGAGGATTGCGGGTTCACGTCCATTGAAGGTCACGAAACAACGGAGCAAAATAGATTATCATCCACAATGCCTCACTAGAGATGGTAAATACTAGAGATATGGAACAATAGAGGCAAATTTTACAAATTTGTCATCTTTATCATTGACTGCGGCTGATGCCATGGCAACAATGAACGAGATTAGAGTAGATAATTGCATTGTGACTTTTACAAGAAAATTTAAGCAGACAGTGGTACTGTTAAGATTCCATTAAGCACTTGTCTCTTTATTTTTTTTCTTGTGCCGCCCTCGTTCACGCTGTCATTCTTTTTTTAACAACTTCTTACATCATGGCGAGTAATATCAATAGACTGGCGTTCTACTACTTACTTCCTGGTATGCATTCCATGAGAAACAGTGAGCTACCAGACACCTCAATGGTTTAGCTTTTGTGGCTGTTTCAAGGCATGTTTGACAGCTGGGGGTAAATTTGGGAGTTGGCGGGAGAGATGGAGTAAATACCACGGCTCGACTACCTGATCCAAGATTTGGCTGAGGAGAGACATTGTTCACGGACGCTGTAATTGACACCGCTTAGGTAGGCCTGCATACTTTCCTATGTGGGAGGCTATAAACCTGCTTGTGAGACGTCAAGCTGGAAGATCGTCCGTCCGCTTCCATCCGGTGTGATCAGCCCGGATCGACAGTTTAGCTCGAGCCGACCTGCGGTACTTGTTCTTAAAATTCTTAATGCTATCCGTTATCTATGCATTTCTGTCCATAGACGAAGAGCTTATATCAACTTCCCACATAAGGTAAATATGTGAATCTCAAAGAGCGCGGTCCTTAAGGCAGACGTCACCACTTCACATTATTAAGCATCAAAGATGTCTTCATTTTGAGTAATTTTATTTATTTCTTTTTCATAATAATATCTTGATCCAATGCAAGAGAGGGGATGTCACACTTTTCTTCCACATGAGTGACTTGGTCCAGCAAAGAATTTTTTCTTCTTCCTCAGCAAGCCAGCACTTTCACTCCACCGCGGCCATTTTTTGCGGTCCTAATAACGCCAGTAGAATATCAAACTAAAAATCAAACAGCGCCTTGCTAAGGTTAGAAAGGGAAAAGAAGAGTGATAGTATACAAGGTAGGGGTACAGTAATCCGTTATCATGAAAGCTTGATGTGCGCTGCGGGCGATATTGATATCCAGCCCGGCACACCGCTCCTTGTTGCTTTTGTGTCGATTTTTTTTTCCCATTTGTTCTTGGTACAATTGTGATGTTGTTACATGGTCATGGCTTGTCTCTGGCGCTCCTGGCGGAGCTTCTCCATGACTCCAATGACACCTCCATTACGGAGGCGCTCGAGGACAAGGCGCATGCCGTCGCGGCTCTTGCTGAGCTGGTCGATGGTCTTGGTGGAGGCGAGGCTCTCAATGCTTCGCTGAATGCCCTTTGCGCCAAGCCCACCGAGCAACCCAGGTAGCCAGCCGGTGCCGCTGCTCTCCTGGGCTTGGCCAAGCTTGCCTCTGAGTTTCTCTCCGAGCCGCGATTTGAACGAGACGCTGGAATTGACATCCGTCTCGTTCCGCGCAACCGCTTCGGATGAGCTCGGCACCTTGAAGTGTTGCTTCTCAACCACCGACAGCACGCCGGTGAAATTGAGGTTGCGGCTCTCCGTCTTCATCCATCCTTCCTTGATATCCACAACGCTGGTCTCGAGAATATACGAGGCCTTTTCACCAGATCCGCCGCCTGAGACGCTGGCGGGCAATAGTTTATATACTGCGCTGGGCATGCGGCTCTTCTTCAGGTGGATGCGGGTGGTGTAGAGGCGCTGCGTTTCCGGGTCGACATGGCTGGAGATGGTGTCGGTGCTGAGGACATGAGCGGCGAACGGGTTGAGCTGAGGGGAGGAGTATCGCAGGAAGTAGGCGAGGGTGACGGTCGGGAAAGGATGAGAGTAGGTGTGATTGGTGGAGTGTGTGAGAACCATTGTGAATGTTGTTAAAGTCGTAATTGAGGTGAATTGTCTTGATATGCTGATGCTATCCGTGCGGAGGCTCAGTTCGAAGACGTCAAAGGCTCAAACACTCTGGTCAGAAGCCTCAATCACTCGACGTCGATTTCACTAAGCCGGCATCTGCGCATTCCAAGCTGACTTGGTGAATCAGACAATCGTGATAACAAGAAGATGAAGAGTAACAGCACAATATACAGCGCAGAAGAACAGGGGAGCAGGCGCTTCCAAAGCCTCTGGTCGAGGAAATGAAATCGACTGACGGCAGAGGTCAGTGGCACGAGCATCAACTTTTCTGCCGGCTATAAGCACGCGGTCGGCGGGGCTGTGATTGGCCACCGGTGAGGGGAAAACTGGCTGCGCGAGCCTAATCCGGGGTGGCAGCTTCACGTGACCGGCGTTTTGCCCATGCAGCGCAGCTGGCTAAGCTCCGGGCTTGCGACCCCACCATAGCTGTGCTGGAGTACAGCGCCATTTGTTCACTGAGCCGTCACATCGTTGCAGCATCCGGTGGCAAAATCCAGCATATTCAAGATTCAGCCGCACCCCAAGCCATGCAGCCATCGGGTTGCGCTGAGACTGCTAAGCACAGGTAGCTAATCATATGTTCCATTAACTGACATCCATGCTATATGCCGTTCCTCTGCTGTGCGAGCTGCTAGCAGTACCTATGCAGGTCTATGTGCTAATACCTCGTCCACGCAAGTAGTATAATCCCGTATTACCTATATGTATATGATATATGACAAAGAACAAAGAGGGGAAATTCCCCCAGAAAATATCGTGTACATCGGCGAGTTATCGCCGTTATAGCCGCCGTTCCGCAACCCCCGCTCAGCAATGCTACCATCCTTCATCTTCTCTCTAAAAAAAGCAAGGCTTATAGCAGAAACTCCTCACCCGCATAGTGTCGCAGAATCACCCAACCCTCGTTGAATGTCTTCTTCTCAAAACGCACAATGACGGCAGCATGCGTGTGCCGATCGTTCTGAATCCAAACAGGGTATTTCCTCCATTTGAGTGAGTTTAGTGATCGAACCATCTCGAACTGGCATGGTGCCAAGGCCAGCGTTGGCTGCGTAGGGATGGACATTCTCCTCTCTCGAGCCATTGTGCTTCTATCCTCTGCATTCATGCCTGTCTCTTCATCTTCGTCTTCGTCTGCCAGATATTCTTGGTGCTGCGAGTTGTTCAGGGCCTCGTAGACGTGTTCGACCTCTTCACGAAACTCCTTGATCAGGATTGGGACGCGGTACTCCCTGATGTCGATGCCCGCCAGGCCACCTTCGTGCAGCTTGATGCGCTTTGTGCTTCGTATGGTTTGAAAAACTGAATTGATGAGATACGCCACCACGCCAATAGGCACCAGAACACCCACTGTGACCATGAACGGGATTCCTCTCAGCCATCGCACTCCCGTTTCGGTCAACGATGAAATGGTGATTGGCGCGGGAACCTTTGGTCGCGGAGAGAAGGGATGCGCAGCATCTAATAGCACGCCCTCTCCATCTTTGAGAAAGTTGACTTTGACCCGATCTATATCCTTGTATGGGTCCGTCTTCTCTATACAGGTCGTATAGTAAACCGCACTTCGGTCATTAACAATGTTGCTGTACAACGTGTGTCTTCTAAACTTTTGCAGCCCCAGCATGAAAATAGACTGCGGGTCGGCCATGACGGATAGTAGGGGGCGTCCAGTGTCTCGAAACTTGTCAATGGTGAACAGTTGGCTCCCCGACATTGACAATGTTCTCGCGCCCAGCACATTCCATATGTGATTATGCCATCCTTTGAGGGGAGTTCGTACGCCCAGGTGTGGTGAAGCAAACGTTGTAAAGTTCTGTCCTTGATGGTCAATGATCCAGCCTCTCTCTCTCTCGCGACCTGTAGGGTTGACATGTGCCTACCATGCACTCAACAGAGTCCAGAATGCCCTTTGCGTACAGCAGGCCAACTGCGTATCGCGATACCAGCCCGCCGAGAGAGTATCCTACGACACTCAGCTTCCTAATCTTGCCGCCATTGCTCTCAATAGTCTTGAGCTCTTCTATAATCTCGGCGCAGACTCGCTCGCCACCAAGCTCGATGCCGTCGTACGTGAAACTACCGCTGTTCCGCTTAGCCAGTAGAAGATAGAGATCGTCAGGGGAGTGTTGGGCTCGCAGTGTCTTGGCAATGTTGTTCATGTGGTTCGGATTCCCCCATAGCTGTTCGAGTCCCCGGGTTAGCCCAACAGATGGAATCTCAGAGAAGTGTTCCAAAAACTCACTCCATGAACCAGGACGCAGAGGTGGTCCGCCTTGTTGCTTCCGCCGGCAAAATCCATGGTGAGCGCTGCACCTAGAAGTCTTGAGCCGGCCAGGCGAGCAGACATTTGCTGCAAGAGAGGCTGTCACTGCGAAAGGGGTGGAAATAGGCGTTTACACGCATTACGTAGGGCATGTCCGAGGCACGTTGAAGGAGGATGCGTAATCGCTCGCGGGCCGTATTTACCGGAGCTAGGAGGTGGGCTGATATCCACAGGCACCCATAGCCTTGTCGGTGCCATTTACACGCTGTGATGAAACTTGGCAGCGAAAGGGTTATGGCCATGTTTCGAATGAATCAAAAATTTCATGGGTCTGAAATAATAAACAGAGTCTGCTCTCAAAATGAATAGATATTCAAAATTCCGTCAATGAAACAAGTCGAGCTTGGGTTCTTCAGGGTTATTACCCTGCAAACTGAGGTGATACTTCTGTCTTTTTGCCTAGAGAATCAACTGCATGACTGAAAATAGTTGAAAAGGAGAATCTTTTCTCTTCTACTACCATACATGAATCTGCATCTCTTGTTGATACATGGATGTATGGATAAGACCACTTACTGGATGTCCTTGGTAAGGAGTAAAAACGTTCAAAACTAAGTAAATTGATGCACACAGTCGCATGTGATACACAGTAGCGGCAATGTCGACCAGTTCTTCAAGTTGTTACCGCGCAAAGTACGGGGAACCCAAAAAATCAAAACTTTCCAATTCTGGTTTTCGAATACAAGATCACTTATTCCATCTCGCATCTAATTTATCTGCTTCTCCATCAAGTAGCATCAACAGCACTTGAGCACCACACAAGTACGCGATTTGAAGACATCAGCACCCCCGTCATTGTTATTTAGCGGCCTTTAGTGTCCCCAGCGCTTCTGCTCGGCAGCCTGCGCCTAAATGTCGGCGCTTCCGCCCCTGGCTCGCCCCCCTGCAGTTCTAAAGGCTCAGATGCAGCGTGCCGTGTATCTTGAATCGTTCCCAATCATCAACCAAACACTATCTTTGGCTTGGCAAACATTTGAGCAACTTGCTCGGTCGTTTGCTTCGACGGATCATACACACGCCCTATTACATACTTGTTCCTTACAGAATGCTGCGCAAATGAACATTCTAGCTATCCAAATATAGATCACGCGTCACTGGTTCCTCACTTTCAGTGTTGCAAGGCCAACATGAGCCTCTCACTCAAGCACATTCCCTGCCCAGCAGGCAACAAATGCACAGCCTTTCAGTGTATCTTTGGGCATGAAAAGGACAACAGCAAGACCGATGGAGAGAGTGTTGGCGAGCCGGTAAAGAGTGATATATTGTCGCCTCCAGACCAGGATCGCCCGAACAAACGCCTAAAGGTCGACGACGCTTCCCTCAATACACAAACTGGTGCAGCTGCCAATGGTCAGACCAAGCAAACGAAAGAGGAGCATAAGAAGCCAGTTGTGCCCCAAAGCGCTACGCGTCCCATCTCTCCTCCTCCACTCAAAAGAAAGGCTACACCCTCAACAACCCAGACTGCAGATAATTCTGCCCCTTCTTCCTCAACCGCAAAGAATCAAACAAGTGCTCTATCCGGATCCAAGACTACGGTTGTGCCAAAATCAAAGAAAGCTGAGACTCTCAATCCTCGACTACTCAAAAGTTCCCCAGCTAGCCACGAAATCCGGCTCAAACTCCTCAGACTTGTGCATCAAGAATTCAAACGCCTAAATGAGGAACTGAAGAAGAGTGTAACAACCCAAGAGAAGAATCTACTTTTGTCTGACCAAGACCTCATCATCAGAGCTCTTGATGAAGAGCAAGCTTGCGCTATAGAAAAGCCAGCCGTCTACTCAAACGTCATGAAGAACAAGGTCATGCAATACAAGCGCATGACTGCGGCCCAGTGGAAAGAGACTCGGGCCAAAGAAAAGCAAGATGCCCAAAAGAAGCACAAGAAAGACAACATGGTCGACGGAGAGGCTAAGAAGATTGAGACTGGCCTTACAAACGCACAAGAAGTTCAGCTACTGAAACGCATCATCACGCCACTCGACAACATGGGACCTCATGGATACGTCCCTACTGTTCCAACAGAGGAGCAAATCAAATCGGCCTTGGATGGCATGGAGGCGGGAAAGGGATGGGAGAAATGCGATCGTTGCCAACAGAGATTTCAGGTCTTCCCTGGACGGAGAGAAGAGGATGGCGCCTTGACAACCGGAGGAGCCTGCAAGTTCCACTGGGGCAAAACCTATCTCCCAGAGAAGCAGCCAGGTGACAAGACAAGAGTGCCCAAGCGATACCATTGCTGTGGCGAGGAAGTTGGCGACTCGGCCGGATGCTTCACTCATGAGCACCATGTGTTCAAAGCAAGCGACCCGAAACGGCTGGCGGCCGTTCTCAACTTTGCAGAGACACCGGAGAATCCTCTCGCTCCCGCGGACAGAGCAGTTTGCTTTGACTGCGAAATGTGCTACACAGTCTACGGCCTTGAGCTGGTGCGTTTGACAGCTACATCATGGCCTACTGGTGAAGACTTGCTAGACGTCCTGGTCCAACCCGTGGGAGAGATCTTGGATCTTAACTCTCGATTTTCAGGCGTCTGGCCCGAAGACCTCGCTGGAGCTGAACCCTGGTCTGTCAACGACGATCTCAAGCCGACTAAGGGAGGCGAAGAGACGGGAAGCGAAGACGGCGAGGTGAAATCTAAGAAAAGAAAGCTCAAAATCGTTTCTTCCCCCGAAGTTGCGCGAGACCTCCTCTTCTCGCTTATATCCCCATCAACGCCCCTCATCGGCCACGGCCTAGAAAACGACCTCAACGCCGTCCGCGTTGTGCACCCGACCGTCATCGACACCGTTCTGCTTTACCCGCACAGAATGGGCCTACCATATCGCTTTGGCCTAAAGACCTTGATGAGCGTTCACCTGAATGTCAAGATCCAGCAGGAAACGGGACCGAAGATGCTTGGTCATGACTCTGGAGAGGATGCTAGAGCGGCTGGAGACTTGGTTCGACTACGGGTCATGGATGTGTGGAATGATTTGAAGAGAAAGGGCTGGCGGGTTGTTGATGGCGAGATTACGCCCCCTGAAGGTGGAGGCGTCCTTACTGAAGCAATTATCGAAAACCGGTTCCGTCTGGCTTGAACTGAGGCTATTCGGTTACTCGGAGAACAATACGGGGAGTGTTTAGATTGAAGACCCTAGGCTGAATACCCATTGGAGCGTCCAGGTTGAATACCCATCTACACGTTTGCGTTGGCTGCTTGGAATTTAATCATCTTCCTCTAGTATACAGAGACTTTACTCGGCATAGCTCAAGCATGCATTGCATTTAGGAACTTTACAATAATATCTGGACGCCAGGAATAGAGCATGGGTTTCTTTTTTTATTCTTCAATGACAGGCCTCTCTGGGTCTGCTATAGCTAAAAGTACAATATTGTCGTGATTTGATCCCCCCTCCCCCGCCTATACCCTAACCCAGCAATGAGCGGGTGTAATCTCCATCCATGCCTCACATTCTCATTATTCCTACAAATCCATCTTACGCCCTGCCAACAGACAGCAAATACTGGCTTCCGCTACCACCCTTTCCTCCCGAAGGCAGATACGCCACGTTGGGATTCGACGACAGCGCCTGCGCAATCTCCCTACTCGCCTCGATCTTTCGAATCTGCACCAGTCCATCACCGGCCTTGGCGATAGCCTTGCTAATCGTCTCCGCACTCTCGGCCTCGCCCTCTGCGCGGATGACGTTGGCCTGGCGCTCCTGCTCGGCCTTTTCGACAATGAAGCGCGCACGCTCGGCGTCCTGCTGGGCAATCTGCTTCTGCTCGACGGCCTTTGTGAACTCGCGGCCAAAGGTCATGTGGGTGATGGAGACGTCCTCGAGGGCAATGTTGAACTCGGCGGCGCGGCGGGTGAGGTCGCTGCGGATGCGCTGCGAGACGGCCTCGCGCTGGGTGATGAGCTCGGCGGCGTCGAACTGGGCGACGATGGCCTTGAGGACTTCGTTTCCGATGGAGGGGAGGACTCTCTCATCGTAGTCTGCGCCGAGGTTCTACATTTCGAGTCGTCTTAGCCAAGAATGCTTAGTTAATTGCTATATGTATATATTTACCTGGTAAATCTTTGGCAGAGCCTTGACGTCTGGCCGGTGCAAGACTCTCAGCGTCAAGCTGACCATCTGGAGATCCTTGCTGCCAGTGGTGGTGGCAATGTTCCTGGGCTTCGTCCGCACGTCAAAGATGATGCTCCTCTGCACCCAAGGAATCAAAAGGTGCGTTCCCTCGTTGATGACATCCTCCTTGACACCGGACAATCTGTCGAAGATAACAGCCCTTGTGCCACCGCGAACATCGTAAATGGACTGTGAGAGGAGGAATGCGCCGGCAGAGGCCGGGATGGCCATGCGGTACATGAGGTTGAGAGTCCGCGCAAAGGCCGCCATCTTGGGATCACAGCTTTTACAAACACAGAATAGGGCTTGATTGAATCCCGGATTTTGCCAAAAGAGCTGCGCGAAACTGGCTCTTCTGCGGTTTACGAAGCTCTGAGCTCTGCCTATGAGGTTTCGACTCGATCGATTGTCCCGCAGTTGGTGGTGCTTTGCTTGATTTTCCGCCCGAGCAGGCGCGCCATGCCTATTCGGGCGAAGCTCGGCTGGACCCGCGAGGATGCTTCTGCGTTTTCACCAATTCCGAACCCGAACTCATTCCACCCTCTCCCACTGTCGAAAAGGAATCGCAACACCGAACTTTCCTTTGCTTAATCCGCGACGATGAGACCTACTCAGATCCTCCAGGGCGGCGGCGCCCCTGCACCCAAGCAAGGCCAGTACGTGCAGCCTCTCCCCCGGCATATGCGGCCAATCGTACCACCGACTTGCGGCTTTTCTACGAGATGCGAGAGTCGACGATGCGACGCCTGCCCATACACGATTGCTTTTGGTCAATTGATGGTGATGCTGACTGTTTTTCTACTAGCTGGCTCGGCGACTGGGGTTCCTTTGGTAAGTGAACTTTGCCTGTCGAATCGTTACAATGGATGGACCGCGAAAGAGGATGCACAATGCTGGATGGTGGGGAGTGGAAGAGCAATGGATGTCCATTGGCACAATGAAAGAGGTTGGATGAGTCGGAGGAGAAGCAGAATATAGTTTGGACTGGCAGACGGACAAGGATTGCGACGGACGCCCGAGCTTGGATCGAACTACGAATATCGAAAGAGTCACTCGCATGCTAACACACGATGATAATAGGTGGTGCCAAGCAGAAGGGCATCATCGACTACGGTATCTCCGCCAACCGTCAGAACCCCTTTGCCGGCGCTGCCCACGATGCCATCTTCAACACCTTCCGCCGCACCAAGGCCCAGATCTTCTACTGGCTCCCTCCCATGCTGGCCGGCTACTACCTGTTGAACTGGGCTACCGAGAGGTACGATTGTCGAATTACAAACGAAAAGAAACTGGATCTAACCCTTGAAACAGAAACCACTACCTCAACTCCAAGGCTGGCCGTGCTGAGTTTGCCGACGAGGAGGAGTAAAATGGTGCATAAAGTGACTTGTGTTGGATTATGGGCGTCCGGGAGACCCAGTGTATATCAGCGTCTAGATCAGGTGAAAAAGAATAGAAACGGTTGACTCTATGAGTTATTTCAATTTAAAAGCGAGCAGCAAAGAAACAGTGAGCGATGCTCTGGTCTTCTCTGAGTACTCAAGTAAGATATCAGTGTGACTTGGCCATGTGTGGAGACAAATGCCAGAAGATAGCAAACAACTTTCAATTTTATTCTTTATCCAGCTTGAATCCTCTGCTTCAGAAGTTTGATTTACTCATACATCGCTATTGATGATTAAAAAGGCTGTGTCTTCTCATTGTAAGTAAAATACCTGATCAAGAGTCCGTAGCTCGATTAAGTCATCTGAATCTTGCTCAACGTGATAGGCTCGCAAGCTCATCACGTGATACTCTCTTCACCGCGCTCGGCATCGGCCCTACAAAACGCCGAGAAATTTGAGAGGGTCCCCTCACCGAGAAAAAAAGTTTGGCTTGAGTAGGAAATTTTTGAAGAGCGATCGTGCGAGGACGACAAGACATTGACAAAAAACGCGACCAAGTTGCGCAAGACTCTCAATTGGTGTAAAAGACGCTAATTGGATCAAGTCTGTCGATTGAGTTTTTACATAAACTTTGTAGGCACTCAATTGTTCTGTTCATCCTTCGTTTCTCGATTTTTCTTGCATCGTTTTCGCATCACACACACAGCAGCCATGGCCTCTGAACGACCTGACAAGAAGGAGAAGAAGGAGAAGAAGGAGAAGCGCAGCGAAGAGTCCGGCGTGAAGAAGGACAAGAAGGAGAAGAAAGACAAGAAGGAGAAGAAGGAGAAGCTCGCCACTGTTCTGGACGAGAAGCTGCAGCAGGATGTCGCTGGCCAGATCTCCCCCGTGAAGGGCTCCGAGGACTCAGACATGGAGGAGGACAAGGCACCTGAGGTTGCTCTTGAGAGAAAGGTTGTGCCTTTTGCCGTCCCTCTGGCTGATGAGAAGGGCCAGAAGAAGATCTGCAAGACGATCCGAAAAGGTAAGAATTGAGCCCACGAACGCACACTCTTTTGGTGTTTTCTGCTTCAACCAGATGAGCCTACAATTTACTGACTACGAATTCACAAATAGCCGCCAAGAACGGTACCCTCAAGCGTGGTGTCAAGGAAGTCGTCAAGACCCTGCGAAAGTCCGCCGCCAGCGCCCCCGGCTACACCTCCTTCCCCGGCGTCGTCGTCATCGCCGGCGACATCTCCCCCATGGACGTCATCTCACACCTGCCCGTGCTCTGCGAAGACCACAACGTGCCCTTCATCTTCGTCACATCGCGCGCTGAGCTCGGTGCCGCCGCCAAGACCAAGCGACCTACCAGCGTGGTCATGGTCATGGAGAAGGCCGAGGGCAAGAAGAAGGCTTCCAAGGAGGCTGACAAGGACGAGGATGACGACAAGGAGTCGTACAGCGACACTTATGCTTCGCTGGTTAAGCTGGTGCAGAAGGAGGGCAGCAAGCAGTCTTTCTGGACAAAGGGCGAATCCAAGGCGTAAAAGGGAAAAAATTAAAAGAGAGGGTGAGGGGATGAAGGAAAGTGTTTGGATGATGTGGGATCCTGTTGATGCGAAGCGCTTAATCTGGGTGTACATTAACAATACCAGAGGGGGAATGTCTTGCAGCAGTAAGAACATTTGTTGGGGCAAACGGCGGCGTTCAGGTATATAAAGTACTTTCTTGATCAATGGAAAATCTTTTGCATTTTTACTACAAGCCCTAGCCAAGGTTTTGTTTCTTGGAGTCTGACGTGACTGTCAATTGTTTCTACGAGTCGGTGGTGAAAAAGATATTCTCAAAGTATGTTTTAATATAAACAAAGCTCTCAAATTAGACTAATAAAATTGTTGTTACAGTAAACCATCAGATGTGATGGGGCTTTTTACTACAGACATTCGGTGATTCCCATCCCAACTCCCGAAAATTACAGACTTCAGATATGAGGAAAGGTTGTTTGCTTTACTCAAAGGGGTTGGTCCTGGTTCCCCACCAGTTGAGAACCAGAGCCAGGCCGACAGTCTCGAGCAGCTTGGCAGCGACATTGACGCCGACGGTGTCAAGAGGCCTCTTTTCGCTGAAGACCTGAGTGATGAACTGCAAAGAATGAGGCATTAGCTTGAGCAACGAGACAGTGGCATTATTCAATAGAAACTTACGCTGGGAGCAGAAGTGGCCGCAAAGATGAGAGCACCCACGTACGCCGCGCCCTTGTGGGTCAGCGTGCCCGTGGCATTGAGCAGCGCACCCACGCCGTAGCTCTGCAGGGCCGAGCCCACAAAGGACGTGCCCCAGGCGAGAGCGGCGCCGCCGGCCTCGCGCGAGCGGATAAACTCCTCCTTGGTGTTGGAGGCCTTTGCGCGGTGGTAGGTCTGGCCGAAGATGGGCGAGAGGACGACGAGGTCGACGCCGTGGTTGAAGAAGGTGCCGAGGGCGATGGCCGAGGGCTTGACGGCAGGGAAGTCTAGAGAATTTTGATGAGCTTTTGATTACGGCAAATTGAGAGAGAGGAGGGGGGTTTTGGAGAGTGGCGAGAAGATGATGAGAGGGGAAGCTCTGGTGAGATTTGGGGAGCTTTTGGTGAGCTTTCGACTTACATTGAAGAGACATTGTGAGATGAATTGACTATTTGTGATGAATTCGAGAAGTTGAGGCGATGAAGAGGTCAAAAAGGCGAAGAATTGTATAGTCTTAGGAGGTTTGTTTAATTTCAGATCTCAGATCTTAAGAAAAGAAGAGAAAGGGCAAATGCAGCAGGTATTTGTATTCCGCCCAATTCCATCGGCAAGGCAGGAGCTAAGCTCATCCAACAAACTAACCTAGCAAATCAATTACGTCTTTATTCTCCCCCTCTTAGCATCTCGATTCGCCCAAAGTATATTCTCTAACATACTACTGCTACTACTTGGCTTGCAAAACGATTTCGTCATGACGATGATGTCACGACTACGCCTTTTGACGGGTTTGGAGGCGTTTTTTTTTTGGGCGGATGCCGGATGGAGGAAATTCTTTTTTTCCATGGTGAGACAAATTGTCTTGGGTAACGACTCAAGGTTAACGTCAGTTTTCTAACGCCTTGATTGAGAAAAAGCCCTCCTTTAACCGGTATTTGTTTGCGTTGCTATGCTACTGTCCAGCTTGCAACTTCCAAGTTGGATTAGGTAATAATGCAAACTTGCGCATCTTGCGTTCTGCCCCCTGTCCTTGAAGGTTGGATGTGCCCTACCTTAGTATCTCATGTATGTAAGAGATACATGCGTCTACATGAACACGTCTGCAGCTGCTACCCATTGGCGACGATCTTGCTTTGATCCAGGCTATGCCTCGGCATTCTGCACTAACAGTTCAAGGCCATTGTAAGACAATTAGACCCGAGACAATCTTGACGAATCTCAACTCTCCCTACTTAACCAAGCACACGACCTAAACAGACCGCTGTCCTCCTCCACATCAACCATGGCAGCAGTAAAGATGCCAAAAGAACAATTACAACACGTTGGTCCTGATCCATGACACACGACGACCCATCCGATCCTGCCCCAACGTATGTTCCAAGTATGAGCGAATCCTGGCTTCCATTTGTTTCTCGCTCAAAAGATCCACTGCGGGGATTGTCAACTTCAGCTGGGGCGTGGCGTGGGGCACGTTTTCACTGTAATCCAACCTCGGTCATCCAAAAAACACGATCGTCATCAGGACAGCATCTCAATCCACAAGGGCGAGCAAGAAATCTCTCAAAATTCAGGATATACGAATACAGCATGTTATACAATTAGTTCCAACGTCGACATCCAAAAACAGCATCATACAAAGTGTGTACAAATCACATTCTCCAAGTTTAAGCAACAAAGGCACGCAGTAAAAGAAAACTCGCAAAAAACCACGGCAGTCCCTGTATTGGCTCGAAGCAAAAGCTTCCCATAAAATCATGCCTCTTCTTCCCATCGTAATGCCTAAACTACCCTCATCGCCGGAACAAAACCAAATGCCATGTTTAAAAGAAATAGGCCCTTTCCCGCTTGGTTGCAAAGAACATTGTTGCTCATGCCGGCCAGATGAATACCAAATGTGTAATGATAACTCCCATGACGTTTTTGCTTCGTATAACTATCCATACAATTGGGTCGCTTTTGTTTTCTCAAGAGAGAAAACTGGAAAAAAGAAAGAAATAAAGAGTCTAAGCTGGCATCAGCTAGATTCCCTCTCCTCGCTAAGCTCCCCGTCCACCTTTCATTCGCTTCGTCGCTCGTCGCTTGTCTCCTCGCCTCAAAGGACTGCCAGTTTTTTGCCAGGTTGCATTATGTATATAGATACTTTGAGAGGAGCAAAAACAAAACCAGAAATAAATTAGGAACAAAAACAAATCTTGCCGTAAACGTTTCCCATAATCCTCTATGCTTGGAGATGGCCGTATTCGCCGCTGCGTAGCCCTAGTAAAGCTCTAACGTCATGAACGTACTGGAGGCCTTCCAGCAAAGGTACTAAATGCATCAAATCACTATCTGTCGGGTCATTTATCCAGCCTTGGATCGGTATGGCATTGTCTATGGGGCAAGAATGGTCAGAACCGCATATATATGATCCAGTCGTAGTCAGAAACTCTCACCTTCATGGAACAAATAGCTCAGCGGGCTATTGTCCAGAATCATCACCTTGCTCAGATCCGGCTCAACAGAACTCAAGTCCTTGATGTACGCTCCTTGTCGATATGTGCAGTGCTGGCGATAGTATCTTGCAGAGAAAAACTTCCTTTCCGACTCGAGCCAGTCAATTACGGGGTCGGCATACTCCTGAACAGAAGCTGTGAAAACAACCAGGTTGAACCACTTGCATATTCTGCGGAGAAACTCGTCACAGTAAGGTCGCTTGTTTACCCAGTACAGGATCGGATGCTGCGCAACGCTATTCTGCCCACTCATTCCCAGAGTCGCAGTGTTGAGCTGGACTTCAATCATGTGACCGCTGTTCATTCTTCCTCCCTTGGACATGCTGTGGATGAGCGTCTCGTCAAGATCTAGGATTAGCGTCTTCTGCTGTTTCCTGGAAGGCTCCAATAGATTCAGATACGAGGGCTGTCGTCGGGGGATCAAGGGTCGGGGCGGTGCTGGCGTCTTCGGATACTTGGTAAGGGCGGCGATGGGGGATGTCGGAGATTTGAGCTGCGCAGACAGTTCGCTTCGACCGATATCGCCTTTCCCTGGAGAAGCAGATTGAGACTTTCTATGTCTCCGCTGTTCTTCATCGTTGAGTTTGATTCGGATGGATCGCCGCGCCGAGCCGGTCTCTTCGCTGGCCTGGACGGACTTGGATCGATGATGCCGGGTTTTGGCACCACGGGGCTCGTCTTCCGATTCGGATGATATGCCAGATGAAGATGTATTATTGGAGCGAGACGGTGTAGACGGAACGCCGAGGTGCCGCGAATTGCGGCCAGTCTTTTTCGAATCTGGAGTCGACGGATATAGATCGTCCGCAGCCAGCTCGCCGTGAGTGAAGCCAAACAGCCTTTTCAGCTGTGTCATGGGCGCAAACTTGCCAAAGTCGTCGTAGAAGCAGGCTACCAGAAAGTAGGCGGGCGCCGTCAGCGTGGCAAACAGCCACCGAATGGTGTTGATGACGCTGGACGCGATCCCTCGCGGCAGCTTATGCCACCACCTCGAGCGCTTCCCTTCCGGCTCGTAGCTTGAGAACAGCGGCGTCTCTTCGGTAGCAAAGGAAGCTTCGTCGTCGTTTTCGAATCGCTTCTCGGAAAGGGAGCCCTCGGCAGTCGAGGGCTGGGCCTCCTGTCCATCCGCCTTGTCCTCAGACGCCTCGAGCGCCTTGTCGTCGTCGGACTGCAGGCCCGTGCCGGAGGAGATGCTGTTGGATCGGGAGTGGGTGGGACTCGGCGGCGGCGACACGCGCGCGGTGATGATGTTGAGGGAGTTCATACTGAACAGAGACACCAATCCATGGGACATCGGAGGCGGCCTCGGGAAGCGGGTCGGGCGCAAGGACTGTTCGGGACGACGGAGAGATGCAAGATGCGAAAGGACGAGGCGAGGCGAGGCCTGGAGAGGAGAGACAAGAGACGGCCCAGAAAAGGGAGCGTCGCAAAAGATGCCGGGGAGGCGATCGAGACCGCTTGCGGCGTCAACGCTCGTGGCTTCCGGGCTCGGGGACGATGCCAATGGCCCTGCAGCGCACTCCAGGGGGGTTAAAATGAGCCTCCGCAGGGCGCTCGGCAAACGAATGTCATGAGTGAGTCGCTTCCAAGGGGGCGGAAAGGAGCGAGAGAGGCGGGCGGCGATGGCGATGGAGCCGCAGGCGAGGCTTGTGGGAGATGGGACGAGATGCGACTGCGATGCACAAAGAGGACAGCCGTGGGAAGAGAGACGACGCTATTACGAGCCGCCCAGGAAAAAAAATGGAAGGGCTGTGCTCTGAGGGGCCTTGCTCTGTTCTAAATGAAACTTGACCAAGTACAAGACAGACTACAAGCACAAGCACGTTGCTCTAGCACGTTTTGACAGTTAGCTGGCCCGTCCAGGCGTTGAGGCACCCAGAAGGACGTTCCCCAAGCAAATCGGGCCAGGTCGTCATCAAGGCCAGGGTATAGCGGGCCAAGCGCTGGGAGGTCAGATGCCGCCCACGCTAGGGCGGGTTTTTGGGGATTTGCAGCGGCCATTGCAGGGGCTGTTGGGGAGCCCTACCGTCCAATGCGCTGCTGAGCCTGGAGCCCGTTTCCGGTCAGCAGTGCCGAGGTGTGGCAGCGTATCGAGTGCTCGAGGTCGGAATATAAAGACGGCAGACACAAGGTGCAGGCACTTGTATGCAAATCTTGCAGTTGAATCAAAAGCAGCATTTACAAGCATATGGATCTGACCAAAGGTGATTCCAAGTTTTTGTTAATCCTGTTGGCAGTCTACTTTATATCGCCAAAGACTACAGTAAATTCCAATAAACTTCGTATGCTGTTGGTACCTGTCATCGTTCGATTCCCAGCCGTGTCTTTTCTCTTGGCCTTTTAGTCGTTCCCACGCTAGCATGTGTCAAATCCAGCCCGTCTGTATCCGAACATGTGCTTGACCTGATTTTCAAATTCATCTTAGCCTCCCAAGCCACGAATACAACTTCCTACAAATCAAAGAAGCTGGAATGATGGAACAGGAAGAAATAAGTAAAGAGGCTGGCTGCGTATTTGGCTTCAGCCTACTGTGATACGAAAAAGTATCAGCGACCTGTGCATTCAGGTATCGGGGCCGCTAAGCTCGCAAATCTTACATTAGTGCATACTCTGCGAGGTGGGCTGCCTTTAAGCTGCATGGCCGAAATTCTTTTTCGACGCCACTACCACAGGCTTTTGCATGTTGAGTCACGATCGCAAAGGCTCTTCTTGCGCCCACAAACCAACCCAGAGCCAAACCCCGCCCACTCCCACCACACCCATTCCCGAGCTGCGATAAAGCGAGCGCACCTCTAGCATCACTTGACGCTATCACGTCCGTAATTTCTATTTTTTTTTTCTTCTCACACGTCTTTCGCCAGAAACTCGCAGCCCGCGCAGCTATCGAGAAACCGAGTCCTTGTCTGTCGCACAAAATTCGAGTCATAGCGCTGCCAGTCATCCCACCGAGCATCGGCCCTTCGATAACCGCACACGAACGCCAAAACACCGTCGCTCGCCAGCCACAGAGTCTACGATGCCCTCCGTATCTGCGGGCCACGCGCTCGACCTCGACAAATTCCTGAAATCTCTCAAGGGACAACAGTTGGAAGCTTCCATCAACAGCTTGATATCGTATGTGATGTGATCCGTCAGTAGCCTGCAATGCGGGGCACGATAAGATTGTCGCATTGCGGCACGACTTTGATTTCATTGGCCGCGGTGCGAAGGGTGGTGTACTGCCAGACAGCTTGATACTGACAATACGCTGCTTGTAGTCTTCTGAAGCGAAGACAGATTAGAGGATCCGAGCCTTGCGCCATCGCTACCGCCCACATCCTGCTCCAAGTCGTTGCGCGCTCAAAATGGCACGACGTCGACAGCCTCTTGATCAACGTCTCAAGAACCGGCCGTAGACTGGTCGACGCCCAGCCCAACGAGCTTGTCATTGGCAACATTGTGCGCCGAGTTTTGGGCCTGATCCGAGACGAGGCGTCTGAAGATCGAGGCGATGCAGGCGATGAATCGGCCAGCGAAGCACCCACTCCAACTGACATTGTCCCGCCCACCTCCATCAGCCAGCAGTGGTCGTCAAAACGGTTCGACTCAGTCGATAGTTCAACCAGTGCCTCACGCCCTCCACTCGTCTCCTCCTATAGCTCCATCAATCCGCCCAAATCACTGTTTCACCTGCTGTCGACCTCGCCTCCCACTGACGGAAATGTGTCGCCTTTCAAGACTTCAGGCGCTTCGACCCCTACCTGGCGGGGGAACGCGAGCCAGATCCATGCGCTGCGCTCTGAAGTGATTGACGGTATCGAGGAGATCAAGGACGAAATCAGCCAGGTGGATGACCAGATTGCCGCCTCTGCTGAAGTGCAGATCCATCCTGGAGACTTGATACTGGTCCACCAGCCATCCCCAACAACTGAACGATTTATTCTTCGCGCCGCCCAAAAGCGCAAGTTTACCGTCCTCCTCGCCATGGCGCCGCCGAGAAGACAACACTCGCCCGAGAACCAGCATGCCACATTTAGAAAGAAGCTGTCGGCAGCCGGCGTCACGGTGGTGAATGTGATGAATGGCGGACTAATGGCTTACATGTCAAGAGTCAACAAGGTCATTATTGGTGCAAGAGCAGTTGTTGCCACGGGTGGTGTTGTAGCCGATGCTGGCTCTGCTGCTATTGCACGAGCCGCCAAGGAGCAGGGCGCTGCTGTTGTCGTGCTCAACGGCATCTACAAGCTGAGCCCGGAGAGCCCCTTTGACGAGAGTTCGCTGATTGAATGGGGCGACTCGTCGACGTTTGTGAGCTTCTCGGACGGTCCTCTGGTGAGTGGCGCGGAGATTCGAACCGCACTCACGGAGCTGATTCCGCCGGAGCTTATCGACACTTATATCACAAACCTGTAAGTTGAACACGAGATGTATCCCTTTTCTGCATCGCTTTTCTGCATCGCTTTTCTGCATCGCTTTTTCTGCATCTCTTTTCTACATCAGTTTTTCTTCTATCCGAGCAGATATTTCGTGTCTTGAGTTGAGCATGTAGCTAACCATTTGGGACTATAGGGGCACACATTCACGCGACCATCTGTCGAGCCTTATCGCAGACCATTACAAGCGAGAGGACGCCGACTTTCACATCTGGGAAGAGGCTCTCCCGTGATGGCAATGACGATTTCACGAGGAATGATAACAAACCAAACAAGTAAAAGCAGAAAATGATCAAGGAGCTTTCATCAGATACAAGGTGACAAAGAGAAAGGATAGGATAAAAGGAGAAATAGAAAGTTTCTGAAAAAAAAAAAGAGAAATCAAGATTACTGGCGAATAGCCTTCAAGAGCTTCGTCATTCATTGATGTTGATATGTCTTGTATATACGTCTTGTCTGCCTTGTGCCTGACTAGTAAAAACTTTGTCCGGGGTACAAAATCCATAGAGAGAAGAGTAGTAATAAACACTGAATGCTACTATGATATCCAGTCATATCTGCCAACAACGACATACATGTATTAAACGATGTCCTCGCCGAAACGTCACCACGATAGCCGGCCGCGTCAGCAGTCATAGCCGGCCCAGGGGTCCTCATTGGCTCCCTCCAGCACCAACGGCCTACCCGTAGGATTCAATCAGGCGATGCAACGCTCGGCCAAAGACTGGAGGCATCGCTGCAGCCAACGTAACGGGGCTGCGTGGCCTCCGCTGGCAATTACAGCTGGACAGCACTAAACGACCACTAACAGCCTAGCTGGCCACACCCGTCGCAGCGCTAAATCCGCCCAGCGTCGACACTAACGCGACGAGGCGACGATTTCCGGCTGAAGAAGAAGAGATGCGGCGAGGCATAAACGCTGGCTGGAGCGAGCTGCGACCATAAAAGATCCGCTGAGGGAGCGACAAGACTGCATTCGTGGCTTCTTTCTCTTCCGGCTCTTCTTTTGCCACACAAAACAGTTGTTGCCACTTGATTATATTGCTGTTCAAATCTGGGGAGAGCTTAGGGGGTGTAGTACCCGGTGTCTGCCTAGAAATCGCGGCCTGCCTTCAACTCTTAGGTCTGCCTAGTTTAAACTTGTACAACTGCCACTGCTGAACTGGCATCGATCCCACTACTTCATCGGTAGTACACTGCGAGATTCTCTCCAAGGCGATAAAGATCAAATAATTTCATCCCCCGGAGCATAGCAGCCAAGCCTTCATCGCAGGGTACACGCGCATCAATACGGCTTGAAGCCGCCATCGCCAACATGAATCCCAGCAACACCAACACCAACACCAGTAGCCATCTCAACGTCCAGGGAGACGAGGTTCCGCCTCCCCCATATTCAGAGACAGACGTCTACAGCAATTCAAATGGCTCTCGCTCTCCTCGCCCAGCAGCCGCCGCAGCAACTCCATCTCACGGCTTCGTACCAGTAGACGATGCTGCTTCTTCCACTGCCGACGATGTCATCTACACGCCGCCTCTCAGCCCTCAAAACACTTCAGATGCTGGGCAATCCGCGGCCTCTCTATACTTTGAGCGGAGGCCGGTGCCACAGCAGGACGCAACACCCCGCGAACCTCTTGTTCATGCCATCGAGGTAAATGATGCTTCGCGGCCTGACGATTTCCCCTACCAGAATGACTGGGCAGCCCGGGACATCTCTGCCCTGGACTGGTCTACTTTTGTCAACTTCCTGCTTCCCGATCACAGCACGATACAGAATGAGGCTATTCTCCATAGAAAGCTGCGAGATGAGATGCAGTCAAACTCGGGCAGCACTAACGATACCACATCGCAGGTCGAAGCCCAGCTCGGCCGGAATGCTGATGCAGGGACGACAACTAGTCCTGATGCTGTCCAGCGAAGAAGAAATGTCGAGGCTACTGTCCAGCAGTGGAATGATGGCTTCTTCAATCCTCGTGGCATCCAAGTCAACCTTGAACCCCTGAGAGCTCCGTCCACGCAGATGCCCGGGGCCTGGGAAACCGACGTTGAGAGATCTGAGTCTGCTCAACCTACCCAGTCCTCGCATACAGCAGGCCGCTCAGAGCCCTCCAGCTGGAGCCCATGGGGCCTCGTCATGGATGAAAATGGCATTCGACTTGGCAATTCCTTTGTGGCAGACCAAAATGGCCTGCGTATTGGAAATCTCATTATGGATGACAAAGGCATTCGATATGGAAATGGCGAAGGGTCAAGCCAGCAGCAGTCACGGCAGCCGTACGGCGCGCCAACTACGGATGCCGGTCAAGACGCTCGCGGTCGTTCCGCTAAAGCTAATCAAGGAAGCCGTCCCGATGACAAAAAGGATCACAAACGCTCATCTTCCTGCTCGTCTATCTCGTCCCTGTCCTCTATGAGCTCTGTATCCTCTATTGGCTCTCTGCCCAGCTATGACGACGTCCCCCAGAGGTCAATGCAGGTTTACATAGCCCAACTCCAGGACTGGACGAATCATCCTGAGCAATATCGTAGTAAGCAAGACGTCAAACAGCTAAAGGCCGACCTCAAGAGCGTCCCCAAAACCGATGGATCCATCTCCGAGGAGGACAAGAAAGCTCTAAAAGCACAAATCAAAGCTTTGGCGGGTGTGTGGAGGCAAATCAAGAAAACCCAAAGAAAGGAACGCAGGGCTCTCAAAAAGGAGCGCCGTGCCCAGAGGAGAGCAGAGTGGAAGGAGAAGAGACAGCATAAAAAGGAGATGAGGAAAGCAGAGAGAGAAGCTCGAAAGGAAGCTCGAAGAGAAGTGCCTGCTCCTCCACCTCCCCCACCGCCTGCTATTCCACCACTGCCACCTCATCCTCCGGGACACATCGTACCTCCCGTGCCTCCTGTGCCACCGATGCCTGGAAACCCGCCCCCGTTTACCGGCAGTTTTCCCTGGGGCCCTGACAGGGGAGGTCGAGGTGGGCGAGGAGGTAGAGGAGGCAGAGGCGGGAGAGGCGGAAGAGGCGGCCGAGGGGGTCGTGGTGGTTCCCAGTCTGATCACCAGGGTCCCTTTGGCCAAGATTGGTCTGGCGAGAATGGTATCTTTGGACCACGCGGTCCTTTTGGCTCTGGCGGTCCATTTGGCCCTGGTGGTCCGTTTGGCGAGAAAGGTATCTTTGGAAACGGCGGCAGCGATGCCTCTGGCTCCAACAGCTTCTTTAGAAACACGGCAGAACAGCGACAACAAGCGCACAATCAGCGCGATCAGCTACAGCAGCGGTTACAGCAACAGCGCGAAATAAGAGAGCAGCAACTGGAGCGAATGCGTCAGCAGCATGAACAAGCACGGCAGCAACACCAACAGCAGCGTGAACGGGCAATGCAGCAACATGAACACAATATGCAGCAGCATCAACACAATATGCACCAACATGGCCAGAAGATGCAGCAACTACGTGAGCAGCAGATGCAGCAACACACACAGAATATGCAGCAACATGAGCAGAGGATGGAACAAATGCGACAGCAGGCCATGCCGGGCTACTGGCCCGACGAGAAACACGAATATTCAATTCCCGTAACCTCAGCAGATGACGAGCAGATCGCTCCCTCTGTCGCTGCGGCAGCAAAGTACCGCTCCATCATGGGCATCGAGACTTCGATTGAGCAACAGCTTGCTGCGGCGGAGAAGGCTGCGCCAGGTCCTGAAAAGGAGGCGCTAGAATGGGCCATTGCGGAGATGCTGAATCAGTTGGAGGTTATGAGGATGGAGGCTGATGAGGAGTATGCAAAGGAGCTGAGCGGGCAATGATGAATTGTATGATGGTGCGAGTTTATTTGAGGCTGTGCCTTGATGTGAGCCCTGCAAGATTGATCACCACCCACTTTATCTTGTTTTTCCTTCTTCCTCTTTTTCTCTTCTATGGATGTATTAAAAAAGCAAAAACATTTGAAACAGTGTTAAAGATACCAAGCGTCATATTATATAACTACTATAGGTAGACAGTCATTACGAAAAGGAGAGATGTAAAAAGAAAACATCATATTGTAAATCAAAACTTTTCCAACTTCATCTTACAACTGTGTCATTGGTTCATAGGCAATGCTTTTTTTTATCTATTCCTCTCTTCCCTCCCAATGTCTTGTTCCCGTAGAGTAAACAACATAGAGTACAAAAGCGAAGCCCCAATCTCACATCCGAAAAGCCATATGAAAAACAAAGAGACATCTCCCTTCTCAAAAAGTACAATATACCACACAAGCAAAAAATCGAACATCTAAACGTGAATGCATCCCAACTTTTTATACACAAACAACCCAGCTTTTTAAAAGAAGAAGAAAAAAAGGAGAAGAAGAACAACACCCATTCTAATGCTTCGTCTCATCCTTCTCCACCAAATCTCCAACTCCCAATCCCCTCCCCACCGCAACCTTGACCTTCTTCTCCTTATCACCCGCCTCCGGATCCCTCCCAACCTCGCCCACCGCCTCGCCCTCATCCACGCCCTCGCTCCGTATCGGCAACTCAGCAGAGTTCGCACCAGCACCAGCATCAGCAGCCCCGTTGCTCTTCTTCTTCTCCTCGTCCTTGTCCTTGTCCTCGTCCTCGCCGCCGGCATAGCGCTTCGCCAGCTCCGCCACGTCGTCCAGGTCGAGCCGCATGCTGAAGGCGTCCTCGCCGTCGGCGTAGTACTTGCTCTCGGTCTTTTCGTTGCGGAACTTGAGCGTGTCTTCGTAGAGGTGGCGTGCGGCGACGTTGGAGACGCGGACGTGGAGGGAGACGTATTTGGCCTGGAAGGTTTCCACCATGGCGAGCTCTAGAAAACAAACAACCCCGAGATTAGTCACACTCGTCATGTTCTAGGATTTAAGGCAAAAACATACGGCTCTGCCTCATCAGCTTCTCCGCAATCCCCAGCCGTCGATGCGTCCGCATCACGCTCAAGCTCGTGATATGCCCATGCTGCACCCCGTCCGCCGGCTCCTCCTCCATCTTGGCCAGCACGTAGCCCACAATCTTGGGGTAGTCGTAGGCGCCCTTGCGCGGGCGCGAGACATCCACGGCCACGAAGCTCAGCTGCGGCCACGACAGCGCGTGGTAGAGGTAGTACTTGAGGAAGTAGTTTTCCGGCAGGTTCTCCAGGTTGGCGTGCTGGATGAGGGGGAGGTCGGCGGTGGTGAGGAGGCGGATGTCCATGGTGGGCGGCTGGTTTAAGAGAAGATAGAGAGAGAAATTGAAACAGGAAAGCGGTTGGTGAGAAAGAAGAAGAAGAAGATGTAAGAGACAAGAGGACGCAAGGCAGCGGATCTGGTTGCGAAACTCGGTGCAAAGGCCGAAAGAGACTCCCCCACCAAAAGCCTTGTCCGCTGCGGGGCCACCCGGCTTTGGTGCTTGGAAGCTTCAAAGGAAGAGCTGCTAACGAAACCACTTATAAACAGGTATCAATGTTATTTTTAAAGATTATTAAATGCCTCTTGAATAGCCAGAGAGCCTGTTGATTAGCTCAAGACAGACATTCAGGAAAAAAAATCGAAATGTTGAATTCTCATATGCTAAAGGCACCCTAGTACTACCTGTTTGAACATCAACTCCCTGCACACATATTCCTTAGCTCAATATACATCTATGCTCTCTTCATTTATTTATTTATTTCTTCTCTTTTTTCCTTTATTGTCTTGTCTCTCTAATTGTCTACTTTCTTCTCGCGAATCGGCAAGTCTTTCGTTACCTCGGCCGACGTCGCAGTCATGCCCCCAGCGGCAGAGGCCTCGTCCTGAGCCTTGACATCCACGTCGGCAGTGGTGGCAGTGGTGGCAGTGGTAGCAGCGGCCTTGGCAGCTTCTGCTTTGGCGGCCTTGGCGGCCTTCTTCCTCTCCTTGTCCTCCTGCTTCTTCTTCTTGGCGGCCGCTTCGGCGGCACGAGTCTCGGCGGAACCGCCAAACAGCTCCTTCCATTCAGCAATCTTCTTGTCTTCGATTCTGGTGAAGAGATAGGCGGCCTTGCCAATCTTGTGGCCGGCCTTGATGGCAGTGGGCTCCCAGGTGTCAGGGATAAAGGCCAGCTTGGTGTTGAGCTGCTGGCAGATGGAGTCAGAGGTGGATGGCATATACGGGGAAGCCACTGAGGCGAGCAGGTGGCAAAGGTTCAAGGCAAGACCAATGGTGGTGTGAGTTCGCTCAGGGTTCTCCGCCAGGTTGGCGTTGTCGAGTCGGCCCTGGAGAAGGTTGTTGCCCTCTCGGCTAATCTCCAACAGGGCTTTGCTGCCGGCACGAATGTGAACATTCTCCAAAAGGTCGACGTACTCTTTTAGCAAGCCATTGACCGTCTCAACCCAGGCGCCAAAGTCAAAGGTGTCATCCTTGAAAGAGGGGTTGAACTCGGGAACGACGCCATCCAGCTTGGCGTTGACAAACTTGACAATACGGTTGACAAAGTTGCCAAAGTTGGCGAGGAGCTCGCTGTTGTTGGCCAACTGGAACGACTGCCACTCGAACTGGGTATCACTGGTTTCCGGTCGGTTTGATAGGAGGTAGTATCTCCAGACAGATGGCGAAATGCCAATATCCCTGGCCTGGTTGCCAAAAACGCCAATTCCTCTTGACTTGGAGAACTTGCCGTTCTCGTAGTTCAAGTATTCGGTAGTGGAAAGGTGGTTAAGCAGAGTCCAGTTGTATCCAGTACCAATCTCGGATCCAGGGAAGATGACTGGTAGCATCATATATGTCAGCTCAATCTCAAAAACTAAAAGGAAATCATCCAGCACACGAACCTGTGTGGAAGGGCACGTTGTCCTTGCCCATGAACTGGTAGAGGGTGACATCGTCGGGGTTCTTCCACCACTGCTCCCACTCATCGGTATAGTTGGCCGTGATGGAAGGATAGCCAATGCAGGCATCAAACCACACGTAAATGACCTTCTTCTCGTATCCAGGCAGCGGAACCGGCACACCCCACTTCAGATCTCTGGTGATGCTGCGAGACTCCAGGCCCTTGGTCAGCCACGACTGGGTAATGGAAACACCGTTCTGAGGCCAGCCGTATTTCTTGTGCGCATCCTGGAACCACTTGTCAATGTCAGGCTGCAGCTTCTCGAGGCGGATGAAGACGTGTGTCGTATCGCGGGGCACGGGCGTTGCGCCGTCAAGTTTGCATCGCGGGTTGACGAGCTCAAACGGATCCAACAGGCTTCCGCACTTGTCGCACTGGTCGCCGCGGGCATCGTCGTAATTGCACTTGGGGCAGGTTCCCTCAACGAATCGATCGGCCAGGAAAGAATCGTGCTTCTCGCAGTAGGGCTGTTGTGTCGTCCGCTCCTCGAGGAAGTCGTTCTCGTGCAGCTTGAGGAAGATGTCCTGCACAATTTCCGTCTGCTTCTTGGTCGAGCTGCGGCCAAAGTAGTCGAAGCCAATCTCGAACCACTCGTAAATCTCCTTGTGCTTGACGTGGAACTCGTCACAGAGCTCCTGGGGGGTCTGGCCCGTCTCCAGGGCCTTTGTCTCGGTGGCCGTGCCGTACTCGTCGGTGCCGCAGATGTACAGCGTCGGCCGGTCACGAAGTTTGCTGAAGCGAGAGAAGACGTCGGCACTGAGGACGCTGCCGACGACGTTTCCGAGGTGAGGGACGTTGTTGACGTAGGGGAGAGCGCTGGTGATGAGGACGTTCTTCTTGCCCTTGACGGGCAAGATGGGATTTTCAACCGCCATGGTGATGGGATCCAGCCAGTGAGTGGTGTCTTGCTTGCAACTGCAGAAACTCCAAACGCCGTCTCTATCGATGCTTATATGCTTCTTCCAACTTCTCCTCGAAACAAGCGGCACGCGAGTCCAAGCGACTAAACTCGGCGAGATGTGGATAGACAGGTACGGAGTGAAATCAACGAAGGGCGCATGTGCAAAATAATGTAGACAATTCGAGTCATCGCATTGCCCCGCTATCGCTGTGCGCCAGAATGGCGGGGTGTGTCGCAAAATTCTGCCGCTAGCCTCTACCCGATTCGGAGGGTGGTCAAGACTTGTCGTGTCTTTGGCGTCAATCTCAACTCACTGCTATTATCAACCTCACATCCACTGTATTCATCTAAGCATAGCTTCAATATATCTCAAAAACAAGGATTATTATTCAGATTTGATCAATACTATTAAACAAATCTCTAAATGTCATCGGATCTCTTCGACGACGTCTTCACTCTCGAAGACCGCTTCTACACCCAGGGCTACAACCAAGGCGTCCAAGATGGAGCCCGCGCCGGAAGGATAGAAGGCCGCTCGCTCGGCATGGAAAAGGGCTTTGAAAAGTTTCTCGAAAGCGGCCGCATTGCCAGCAAATCTCTCGTTTGGGCAAACAGACTCCCCCAAACTCCCCAGCCAGGCAGTGCTTCAGAAGAAGGAGCAAAGAGCTCTGAGACTTGCACGCTGCCGCCACTGCCCAAGAATCCAAGGCTGGAGAAGAATATCAAGCTGGCATATGCGCTGGTCGAGCCTGATACGCTGTCAACAGAAAACTCCGATGAGGCTGTGCAGGATTTCGATGACCGGGTGAAGAGGGCGCAGGGCAAAGTCAAGATTATTGAGAAGATGCTGAACTAGGACGACTTTCGACTTGGCCGGCATTGGGGATCATATCTGGCAAATGTTTTATTCGGCTTCGTCTTCAATTTCACCGTCAGCAATATAGAATCATAGAGGGTTTAGCATTCGTGGAGTTAAGGTATCGGGTTAGATTTATCAAGGGGAAACATGAGGCGTTCATAGAAGGAAATCGAGCATCAGTAGGAAATTCTATCGTCTTTCTTCATCTCGTCTTTATTTACACAAAGCCTTCCCACCCTAGTTTATTTGAATGTCCTGCAAGGATAACTACATCATCGAAAGCAAATTAGCAAATCTCGTTCCCAAATCTCCAGATCAAAGCAAATAACTTACCCTTCACCATATGTCTGCTCCTGGTCTTCAATGAGCTCGTACTTGTGCACATCCCACGCTCCCGACACCAACGTCTGTCCGCTGGGCAGAGGTGGCAGGCCGTCGACAAACACATCCTTTGCCACATCCTTGGAGGCCTTTTCGAAAAACGTAGCCAGTCCAGTCTCTCCCTCTTTCTGCGCAGCCACGAGGGCCTGCTCGCCGGCCTCGCCAATCAGCTCGACCTTTGGCTTCGCGGCGCTGCCGACCGTCAGAAGCGACACGGCGTGGCCCTGGTTGACGACGCTGAGCTGCGGGTACGAGCGGCGGACGTCTCGCTTCCAGTAGGGGTTGTCGGCGATGTCGCCGGCGGGAATCGTGACGGGATCATCGTAGGTCTGGGGTTCCAGGGCGCCGGGGGTCGGGTTTCGGAAGTAAGGATTGAGGGGGACACCGTTGGAGCGGTTGGGGTCGATGGCGAAGGCCTTTCGGAGCGTCTCCCAAATGCCGGTGGACTGAAGAGTGTGTTTCTGCGGGTTTGGAATCAGCCATCGTCTTCCATCATTCATCTTGATAGCTCGAGCCGCGAGCCAGAATGGAGCGTGATTTGCGCCAATTGGGGCAGCAGAGCGTCGACAACGAGCAGGAATGTTCGCACCTTTGAGATGGAAACAAGGCCACCAGCAGCCTTTGCTGCCGCTTGAGAAGCCATCTTGCGGAAGCGATGGGATGGTCGCAGTGCTGTATGTCGAGCGAATTGGCTCCGAGTTGGTTGATCTCGAGTTAGCAGCGACAATGCTAGCGGTGGGTCTAGCCGAAGCTTTGCCGACAGCGTCTACCAGTACCCTAGAAACATGAAGATAGAGCAATTGCAGTTTTGATGTACATTATTGTAATTCATTACAGTAAAAATGCATTGAATGATTATGAATATGAAACTTGGTGAATTTTTTTATTTCCTGGAAAAGCTATAAAGTATAGCACTTGGATTGGTGAAATTATATTGCGAAGGAGACTCTCTGCCAGTTGCAATTTGGTGCTCAAGATAGAAGTCACTAACCTTGAGGATTTCAACGTTTGTTTGGGTCAAATAGAACATCATTATTTCCAGCAAGAGAAATCTCTCATAGCCATTTAAATGATACACTTGCTAAACGTAATTCAGTCCAAGAGAATAATTCCCTTCCATCTCCTACCACCAATTACAGCATTACTCTTCGCGCTGAATCTGCCCATAATAACATACCATACAGCAACGAAACATGATCTTCTCCATACAAAGTACTGTAAGAACTCAGGCACTTCCCAGAAGTGTTCCGTAGTACCATCAAGGGAGAGAGACAAGCCATTGACATCTCTTGAAGTATATACTGTTGACGTTTCTCTCTATCAATTTACCTCTACAGCAGCAAACTGCCACATCTTAAGCACATCAGCAGAGTCACATCAGCAGAGTCACACCAACAAGAGCTCAACCAGCAACGACGCGAAATCAATGACTAAATCAATTTACACTGTCCTCAGGAGACTAACGAGCAATTCATACGAGAATAGTGGGCCCTATGTAGATTCCCAGTGCCAGTAGACAAATATAAGCACGCTTGCTATCCCTCATACCGATCAACTCCCACGCCAACTTGTAACATGACAAAGCAAACAATTTTCTTCTTCATCTTCTTTCAACTCGCACAATATCAATACGGAAAACCACAGTAGCAGAGAGAAGAGGGAGAAGGAGGAGACCAGACAAGAAAAGGGGCTGTGCCTTAGTTCTTTCCCTTCAACTCTTCAACCAGAGCCTTGACTCTATCCGCAGTAGCAGCAGGACCGCCAGGCTCGGCAACAAGCACCTTGCCCTCCTTGCTGATGACAAACACGCCGCGCTGGGTTCCCTTAGGTTGCTTCTTCAAGCCAATGGCCGCGATGAGAGTCGCCCCGGTGTCGCACAGGAGGGGGTAAGGCAGCTTCTGCTTCTCCTTGAAGGTGGTGTTGGCCTTGGGTGAGTCGGCGCTCAGGCCGTAGATGGCGAGGCCGTCGGCAGTCAGAGGCTCATAAGCGTCGCGGAACAGGCACACTTGGGTGGTGCCTTGAGAGTTTGACAGGTTAGCAAAGTGCCAATCGCGTCGAGAGTTCGTATGAAAGGGTAAAAAGACGCGGATAAACGCGCGGTGAGAGCAAAGGGGACAGTCGACAGATGACATATATACACACATATATGAAAACGGTAGAGTAGTAGAGTAGTAGAGTAGTAGTAGAAAGAAAAACTTACATCCCGGAGTCGACGCCTTGGGGTACGTGAACAAAACAACACCGCTCTTGCTATCATCAACAAGCTTCTTTAGCGTAGTCTTTTCGCCATCATTCGTCTGAATCTCGCCGCCGAATCCCTCAAGGTCAATGACATCGCCAACAGCCACCTTGCCCGCAGCAGCAGCCGGCTTCTTCTCCTCGTCCTTGGCGTCCTTTTGTTCTCCCTCAGGGGCGGCTGCTGCGTCCTCCGGCGCAGAATCGGTCGCCTCCTCGTCCTTGGCTGGCTTCTTCTTGTCCGCCTCGGGCTCCGGCTTCTTGGCGTCCTCCTTTGCCTTGGAAGCGGCGGGCTTTCGTCCCCTATTGGTAGCCGCCTTCTTCTTGGTCGGCGCGGGCGCGGGCGGCGCCACGGGGGCCTTGCGCTTGCGCAGCTCAACAGGCATGATGGATGATATTGGTTCTGACAAGAGTGTTGTGTATGGGCTCTTCCGGCTCTTTTTTTCGCCCGCAACTGTGTATTCTGCGAGACAACAAAAAGGAGGAGAAAAAATGACACGTATTACAGGCCAATAAAAGCTGCGCAACGCGGTTGACAGAAGGAAGGCGTTGGGAGGTGTAAGCTAAAGGAGGAGGAAAAAAAAACAAAACAGACAGTAAAAGGCCTGGCCGTCTTTCGTGACAGGGCAAACCACCAGAACCTCTGCCGTCGCATGCGGTTTTCCCAAGTCAAGGTACAATGTACCCCCCAAGCCCCCAATCAACCAACCCAGCAGCTTGTGCCTGGCTACGACAACCAATCAACGGGGGAGCTGGGCTATGCGAGCTGGAGCTTTCTTGTCGAAGCTAGGACCCGTTTGTTTAAACGCGGAGCTCCATTTTACGGAATATAGCCGTGGACTGGGGTTTCTTGCGAGATGGTCGTGTATCTGACAAGTCTCCGTAGCGCTCCGGGCTTGGTTGTGATTCGCTTGCTGTATGTCGCGAGCTCAGGTGCGAGTGCAAAAGTATCCAATCATCCACCCATCCGTCCATCTATTGCGCCATACATGCGAGAGTCTATAGAGCACTACGTACTAGTACAAAGCATTTGAGCTACAGGAACCACAGGTACTACGAAATGCTGTTGGCGGTAAAGAAAGAGGGCGCTGTTGCCCGGGATACTGACGGATTGAGTTGGTGTGCGTGCAGTGACCTGCATCTTATCTGCGGCTTTGCGCGCAGGGCCTCTTTTTGGCTCCATGCGTCTGTCATTCCGCTGTCGAAGCACTGACGGCTAGTGATCACGTTGGTCCTGAGGAATTGAGCCACATCGGGGTTCCAGAGCAGTTACAGTATCATCACACCTAAAAGTAATCGAGAGCAGAGCCTCGTATCGCAAACTTAAATGCAGCAATTCAATGCCGGTGTCCCTTGTTTGTTTCACTATCAGCCTGGTATATCGCATGCTCTTAGGTCTCTCCATCTCAGCAGTAGCTTCTTGACGTAGAGTCATACTCAGATGAAAAACAGTAAATCATCCTTCAAATGTCCCCTTCGAAAAAAAACACAGCGTGTCTTCCTCCCATTGCCAAATCACGAGCCGCATCGAATGCATCAATCCCAAGATGTCCTCAGCATATAGGCTTAAACCTATATAGCCCACAAGCACTTAACAACGTGAGTTGCATGATAAGCCGTTATATGGTCGTATCGATCATACCGAATCAACTTTTTGTGTGTCCGCAGCCTGGAAAAATGCCCGGAAAGAAATCCATAACTCAAAGAAAGAGAAGGTCAAAAGAGACCTTCATCGTGGGTATCATAGCTGCCACGCCAACTCTCTCTCCATCAGATGAGCGATGGAGAAAACAGCTTCCGCCATTTAGTTAGGGCACTGAGCCTGAACGTGGCCGCTCTGCTGGCACTTGTAGCAGATCTTCTCGCCACCAGCGGCCTCCTTAGGACAGTCGCGGGAATAGTGGCCAGACTCGCCACAGTTGTAGCACTTCATGCCGTTGACGCACTCGCCTACAGACAGGTTAGTATGGAGTTTGGATAGATCAAAGCGACTGTTACGTACGAGACATGTGGCCGTAACCACCGCAGGAGTAGCAGGTCTTGCCAGCACCACCACTGTAGCCGCTGTTGCCGCCGTAGGAGTTGCCACCGAATCCGGACTTGGGGCAGCTGCGAGCAATGTGGCCCTTCTCGCCGCACTAGAAAAGACACCATTAGGATCGGCTTCATGCGTCTGTCGAGACGTTCGAGCACATACCTTGTAGCACTCAGTGCCGGCTTGGCCTCCTCCAGCAGCGCCAGCCTGGGGGCAGTCACGGGAGATGTGGCCGGGCTGGCCGCACTTGTAGCAGGACTTGTTGTCCTTCATGGGCTCAGTGCAGTCACGGCCTGAGAAAAGTCAGCGGGCGAAAGAGGAGAAATTGTCAGTCAAGTTGTGCTTACTGAGATGGCCCTCGCCTATTACAGGAAGCTAGCTGTCAGCAACAAATTCAATCCAACTTTAGGAAGAGGGAGACGGAGAGCATACCGCCGCAGTTGTAGCTATCGACAAGTTAGTATTTGAATTTGATTCTCATGGCGATGGCGATGGCGATGAAGATACTTACCACTTGGCAGGTCCCTTGGTGGGGCAGTCACGGGCCTAATGCAACTGTTAGACTGAATGATGCTCTTTGTGAGCTTGTTGATGACGAGGATTCTACTGTACCTGGTGGCCAGTGTTGCCGCCTAAATGAAGCTGTTAGCAAAGTCTATCTTTCATGGAGGTGCAGATGAAGATGAGAGCATAAAACGGGATTGAACATAAAACAGGGAATATGGAAACAGAACAAATCAAGAAAGCTGATGAAGGCAATCGAAGCTCAAGGCTTGACGCTCTGCAAGCTGACTTGAAGGAATGCTTTGGCCCTAGGAATTGGAGGGGCTGCCAAGCATCAAAAAATCAAGGTACCAGGCCCGGGAAGAAAACGCGGGGGAATTTCAGGTGAGGTAGCACAAGTGGCAATTCATGATGCACAGAAAAAAAGAAGAGACTCACAAGAGTAACACGCTCCACGGGGTGCGTAATCCATGATTGAATTGGTTTGAGTAGGTGAGAGTAAGCTATCAAGTAGAGGCCATCATAGTTAGCGACTATTTTCATGCGAGTGTTGGAGAGCTCAAAAATGCAAGGCCATCTGCCGGCTTGAGGCTGAGGGGCAACAGACGACCCAGTTCGCGGCGATGCCAGTAGATGCGCCAGCGACGGTTGGGAAATGGGAATGGCGAGTTTGAAGATAATTCGTCAAGAAGGAATGGTGGCATCAAGGGAGCATCACTCACTGAAATATCGATTGAGATTGGAGTTGAAGAGTCGAGAAGCTGTGGGACGAAGATGTTGATTCCACAAGTTGATATTGGAAAAAAAACGTGTAGACGAAAAAGGGAAAAGTTTTTGACGATAGCGGACTATGTGTTGGGGCCCTCAGCCTAGGCCGGCCTAGTGCACAGCTCCAGCCGAGCGAGCGTGGGAGGCCCTTGCCACTGGGCGGAAAAACCGATGGGCCGCCGCCAGCTCAGGGTTGGGGTTCCTGTTACAGCGCTGTGCCGCTTGCAAAGGCGCTGTTCTTCGTTTACTGGCAGTGATTTACGGTTCACTTTGGAGTGAGAAGATGGGATGAAAATGTGCTCAAATTGCTTTTGAAGTATCCGATGACGGAGGAGCCCCTACTATTTGAAGAATTCTAGTTGCTTTGTTTTGATTTTGATGCGGTGTCACAACCGCATCCAAGCTGCGAAACCACAGTGTTTCCCGTAAACTACGCCTTGGTACATGCACATGTAGTTCGAGTGCTCTATTGAGCATTGCCTGGATGAATGCAGCGGCTGCTGTATAATTCTTATCCCTACTAAAATCAAACAATCCCCCTGCTGCAGCTCCTAGAGAAAGTAGGAAGCAAAACACCTATTGTGTGATTTGCATGGATGCTTTTGAAAAACAAATATGAGGCGCGTGTCTCCGTATCAACAGGTAGCAGTGGTGCCTTCCTGTGGGTTTAGGCACCACCTCGACCTGATGTTGGCTCACTCTAATGCGGGTCACGTGGACTGGCGTTGTTGTGGCGCGCGACTCGCCGCGGGAGCATTCACGTATTAGTGCCAGCGCTGTAGCTTCATGCTGTCTCCCTGCCTGGCTGCGTAACTTTGCTACAGGAGTCTTTCAAATGGATGGCTGGTCTGAAAGAGGGCGGCCAGTGGTGCGCGAAGCTCTGGATCATGTGTGGGAAGTCATTGATCGTGAGATTCAACATGGTACAGTGATTCTCTCTCCTCTTGACGAGGACGTCTTACTGACACGAAAAAGAACTCGCGAAAAGGGCCATGGAGCACAGCAAAACCAAGGAGCATTTAAAAGCCATGATGTCTGCTCTTGGAGCTCAACAGGCTGAGAAAAAGGTGCTTCAAGCTGAGAACAACAAACTGCGAGCTCAGCTAGCAGCCATGTCCTCAAGTCTTAGCCCTGTTAAAGCCAATTCGAGCACAGCCCAGAGTGTTGACACAGAAGTTGCATCGTTGACTCCAAGTCCGAGCAGGACCACTACTGGGCCGACTCTTCCCTCTTCAGCAGCTGTAATATCTCCCCCTAGCTCCACTGGATCAGAAGGCAACGAGCTTGCAAAGTTCAAAATGAGATTCAATGCTCTTTCGGACAACTTCAAACAAGCAACGGCCCTTCTTCGGAAGAGAAAGGACGAGCGCGATTTGTGGATAGAACGAGCAAAGAAGTTTGAAGATCTTGCTCGGGCAGCTGAGGAGAAGCATGGAATACGAATTCTTGAGGAATCAGAGGGTAATGACCCTGACGAATCTTGCCTCACAAATCTCAATTCCAGTGTCCGACTCTCTGCTCTTGAAAACATGCCGCCACCTGCTACTCGGACAATTCCTGATAGTCAGTCAATTACCGATGTAGAAGACGCGCAGCTGCAATCTACTCAAGGGGATCCCGATGAAGCTGAGACTCAAGATCTACCACCTCTACCAGCATCTGGCGACGACCAGGACTCAATAGACATTAAACAGGAGCCGTCTTCTGATCTTCCGGTGGTGGTGTCTGAAAGATCCTTGAAGAGGAGAAGAGTTGAAGACGATACACTTGCAACTCCAACCGCCCCAACAGTCAAGGCTGAGCCAAATAACTCCAGTCCGATCACTGCATCTGAACATTATCAGTTTGACATCCAGGAGAGCATTGACCTCGATGATATAGCGCAGAAGATAACCACTCCACGAAAGCGCAAAGATCTGGACGCTACGGTTGCTGGAGAGGAAAAAGAAGAACCGAGATTAGCCCCTCACACAACTCCAAAATCTGGCTACGTATGGGCAGACGGTCTACGATACTCGGCCAAGAATGCTCCCGGGCCGTCCATACTCACTCCAATCAGCGGTAACAAGAGAATGCCGAAAAGTATTGTCGATGATGATGGCAACCTTACTACATATGTGAAGGCTTCATTAGCCCGCGGGATTGCAGAGCTGGCAGAAGATGGCACTCCTTACGAAAAGCGTGGATCTACGAAGGGTTCAAAGCCTTTGCGTGGGCTCACCCTAGTTCCTAATAGTCGGCTGACTTCGCTATTGAATACCCCAACTTCCAAGAACACATCACCCATCACACAAACTCCACAGAGCCGCACGCCAGGCACTGCTTCAGCTGAAGATACACCTCTTAACCTCATGTTCCCCGAACCTAGAGCACTGCCCTTTGACAAGCTTATGCGACAGACCAAGAAACGCAGCAGTCTAAAGAACGCGGAGTTTACAACGCCTTTGAACAAGAAGACCCATGCTCGAGACGAGTCTCCGACCAAAGGACCGACATCAGGTCTCCGTTACAAACCTCTGGCACAACTCCGCCTCGATGATTTCAAGGTCAATCCCTTGTCAAACGATGGCCAAGACTATGCCTTTTCGGAAGTCGTCAGAGACAAAGATGATAGAGCAGGCCTACGAGGATGTACAGATATGCACTGCTGCGGGAAGCATTTTCGAGCCCTGGCTCTATCACACCGGCCAGACTCGCCCTTGACGGCAGAACAGCGACAAGAAGAGCAGAAGCTACTAGAGAATTACTTGGGCGAACACGCGTACCGATTAGCAAGCATGACAAAGGCCGAAAGAGACGAGACCTGGATCGAAGCCAAGACTGAAGAACTAGCCAACAAATACGGTAAACATCGACACCGCTTCGCTCGCATGCAGTCTCCCCCGGGATTCTGGAACGCCGACTTCCCAGACACACAAGAGCTGGTGGCTGATCGAGAAGAGGCACAAAAGAGAGAGAAGCGCGCAATCGCAGATCGATACAGAGAGGCCATGCGTCCGGGGGGTATGTGGCTATTCAGAGACGAGTAGATTGTTTTGAATTATGGGCAATTAGAAACCATGGCGGCGCGCATCAGAGACTGGAGAGTACTTGTATAAAGCATTAGGTAGCGCAAGCATATGGCAAGCATTGGCGTCTGGGTTACATGAGGATTCGGGAGCATTGATTGGCATTTTAATCTGATTTTATGTGGATAAATAACAGTTGAGATTCATTCATTTCAAGTCACATAAATTCTATTTCCTTGTTCTTTCATTTCATCACAAGCGTTGAATCGGTGATGATGCTACTATATTCTAGCCAATGCTATAAATACCCAGTAGTTCCCATGTCCAAGCATCCAAGCCTTACCCAAGTATATCCAAACTTCAATAACCATGAAAATACTCTCAAGAATACACTATAAAATACTCACCACATAACCATATAGGTACTGATAACTACCAAACTGCAGGCTTAACCAAACTCAATACAACTCTCGCAATACTATTTCGTACTATCCGGTGTCGGCCAATCATCGGATCTGTCCAACCAGAGGGCACGGACGCCGGGGCGATCTCTGCACGCTAAATAAACTCCAGTCACGGCCACAACCAATTTCTGCCTTTGACGCTAGAGCAGGCCTGTGGAAGCCAGCCGCAACTCCAGTCTAAGCCAGCGAGCGCTTCCAAACATCGCCGTCCGCTTCTACAGCCCATTTTTACTTGCTCCTCGCATCCTCACCCTGCAGCCGCAGCCTCGCCTCCTGCAAGCAACTCCCAGCACAGAAATCTTGGCCTTGAGACGGCCACGATCATACCGCCTCTCGATTCTTGATCCTCCTGCGTTTGATTTTGGCGGGACAATCGCCACTGTCGCCGGTCACGCCACCCTATTGCGCATCTCTATCCGCGTCGCACAGCTGGAACCAGACAACTCCATCTCCTCGCCGTCTCGAATCCGCCAGCCTCAGCTGCAACATCTGCTCCTCCCCGCACTCCGCTGGCGGTGCAAGTAGATGCGGGAGCAGCACTGGGCGATATCCGCAACGGTACGATCCCCCAAGCCGGCAGGATGAGTAACCGCCATCTGCCGGCTGGGCAGAACATACAGGCTGCAGCTGGAGGCGTCAACGGCGGCCTGGATATGAATGGAAACATGGCACACATGGGCAACATGGGCGGCGGCCCTCGGAGGAACAGGCCGCAGTACAGCAACAACAACATGCCCTATCACCAGCACCGCGAGCCTCACTATCAACATCAGCAACACCAGCATCCTCAGCAAATGATGTACTCCAACTATCAGCCATACGCTCACCAGCAGTACTACGCCATACCGCAGCACCATTACCCGCAACCCGTTGCCCCGGGCACTGGATATATGCCTTACCAGGGCTACACCAGGTCGCCGCCGCCGATGCAGCAGTTTGCCCCAATGGTGGGCGTGAGTGTCCCACCGAGCTACCCCCGAGGCGTTCCGCAGTCGCCCAACCCAACCACGCCGTATCAGCCTCCACTTGCTACCGCGCCCGGCCTGCCTCATACGCCGTCCTCGACACATTCGACGCAATTGCTGCCTCCGCATACACCTACAACTCCCCAGACGCCCCAGAGTGTTCAGCCAGCCGCTGTGGTGCCCACTCCCCCTACTCAGGACACAGCTCCATCGCCAGCTCCGGCCCCGGCCATTGTTGCTGCTGCCGAGCCCCGCGAGCCGTTTCGACCACCGGTAAGTTGATAGAAGCAATATTGAAAGAAATGGACATGTTTGGCTAATTCTATAAACACAGCTACCCTGGCTGTCACACCCCGGTGTTGCATTCCCTGTGAGGACTCCGCGAGCAAAACGGCTGAGAAAGCCTTTGGTTGCAGGGGATAAGGCGGTATCCCTACCTGCGGGGCAGCATGATGTAACTGCAGAGCAAGCCAGTCAGAAGCCTGCTCCCTCTGCTCATAAGGAGCTGGGCACCCAAGCTCCAGCTCTCAAGCAAGAGGTAGAGCCCGGTGCAGAAACATCTGAGGTATCCAAGACTGAAGAGGCAGTCAAGGCTTCTACTGTGACAAATGTCCCTGCTACGCGCACAGCTGCCCCCGCCATTCCTGTAGTCCCAGTGCTGCCAAAGCACGGACCCAAGCCTGAGACTGCGAGTCAAGAAAAGGCAAATGACGATGCTGCCAAGCCTAATGGCCAAGACGCTGTGGCTGCCGAGTCAAATGAGGTCAATCCTGACGGAACAAATGATGCTCCTGCTCCAGCAGTCAAAGTTCCCCCCTCGAGCTGGGCCAATCTCTTTGCCAAATCATCAGCACGAGCTCCAGTCAATGGTTCAGGAGCGAATGGTGTCAATGGAGTCAATGGTGATTCGGCTGACGCTGCTAACGATTTTCCTGGTTCTGCCTTTACTAAATCAAATGTCAATTCCCTCGCGGAAGCAATCCAGTCATATGTGGTTGAGAACAGCGGCAAACTCGACTTCCTTGAGCCACGTGGACTCATCAACACTGGGAATATGTGTTACATGAATTCCGTAAGTCTTTGTATAAAGGCAATCAATCTTTGAGATAATGGTAACTGACATGTTTTTAGGTGCTTCAAGTGCTCATGTTCTGTCTGCCGTTTTACGACTTGCTTGATCAGGTTGGCAAGCGGGCTGCTCACAGCTTCAAGAGCGAGACTCCTATGATTGACGCCTTGATTATGTTCATGAGAGAATATAGAGTACTCAAATCGTCAGCATCGGTTGAGCAGCTGAACCGTAACTTGAGGAGCGAAGACCTCGAGCGCTATGGCGAACCCTTTACACCCGAGTTTGTCTATGACGCTATCCGACAACTTTCTCGATTTGACAGCATGCGAGTGAGTCTCTTCCCATCTAATGAATCTCAATAGGCTTGGAACTAGTAACTGACGCCTTGTGTCAGCGTGGTCACCAACAAGACGCAGAAGAATTTTTGGGTTTCCTTCTTCAGTCTCTTGATGACGAGTGCACACATGTCATGAAAGATTTGTCAATCGTATCCGAAGAGGTGCCTTCATCTAATACCTCAACTGGTGGATCTGTTGCAAATTCCGATGATTGGCTCGAGGTCGGCCGTAAGCAACGTGCTGCGGTATCTCGCCTATCAGGCCACAACACGTCAACTCCGATTACCAAGATTTTTGGCGGCCTTTTGAGATCCGAATTTCGCGTGCCAGGCTTGAAAGATTCTATCACCACTGAACGCTACCAGCCTCTTCAACTGGATATCCAGTCACCAGATGTCAGGAATGTCGTTGATGCCTTGCGTGGGCTGACCCGGCCAGAGCGCATCCAAGGAGACTTTAACTCTCCACGCGGAAAAGATGTGGTTGCCACCAAGCAGGTCTTTATTGAGTCTCTGCCTCCTGTTCTGATTCTACACCTGAAACGATTCCAGTTCGACGCCGAAGGCCATGGAACTGTCAAGATCTGGAAGAAGGTTGGATATCCTCTGGAGCTTGAAATTCCTCGCGAAGCTTTGTCACGCCAGAAACGTGACAGCTCGATGCCTAGATACAAGCTTATCAGCGTGGTCTACCACCATGGAAAGAATGCTAGCGGTGGCCACTACACTGTTGATGTGAGACGGCAAGACGGACGTGAATGGATTCGATTAGATGATACAGTCATTCGGCGCATTCGTCCGGAAGATGTCGCTGAAACAGGATCCGAAGAAGACCAGAAAGACACACGGAAGGAAACTACCTCTAATGTCACCAGCAACCGATTTGGCGCGATGAATGATGAAGACACTGGCGATGAAGATGGCTGGAAACAAGTTACCGCTCCAGCCAACGGTAAGCGATGGAGCAGCGTCGTCAACGGCGCAGCTAACGGAGCTACCAAAGACAAATCAGTCAAGGACAGCATCAAGGACAACAAGGTGGCATATCTCTTGTTTTACCAGCGCATATAAGAGTCCTTTAGCTGGGTACCCTCTCCCACTACTACAACATAATGAATTTACGGGGTCAAGGAGCCGAATACCAAATGAGAGATATGCGTAGGAGGATTTGTACATGAGGACTACAGTATAAAATGATGTTTGATACGAAAGCCATTTTACTAATTTCATGTCAAGGATGAGCATAGGCGAGAATGGAGGATACAACAGGAAAGAGGACTCATTAAATGAAAATGGAGGCGGAAAGTTGGCAGATGCCCAGCGGGTCAGATTTGGCGTTCTGGCGTCTCGGCAGGATTCTCATTTTTTTTGTCGAGACGGTACAACAAGAGGGCGAGAAAAAAAGGGCGAGAGACAACCGGCTCTGGCTACAGGGCAGGTATTGATTTTTCCATATGGCGGCATGTCTAGACTAGACTGGGCTTCGAAAGAGGAACGTTTGGGTCAGGGTTAAGAAGAGCATTTTGTCAGTGGAGAGCCTCTTTTCTTTGTTGCTTCCAAAAGTGCATTTTTTTACTACTCCTGTACTATTAGTGACATAGCCAGTTTGAGTAATGGCATTTGAACAAGAAAAAATAACACAGTTAATTACAAGGTGTAATTAGAGGGAGATTGGTTGATGAGCGAGGGAGTTGGAGGTTTAGACCATGTCTATAATGTTTTGATTTTAATACAAGAGACCTGTGTAGAATCTCTGAATAACGATCACTTCGCCCGCCGCCGCTTGATCCTGCTTCTCCAAACCAAAGAGTACATTTATCGTTTCCTTCATTTCCTTTCTCTCTTTCTTTTTTTTAGTGCTTCTTGATAACAGTCATGGAGTCCAGAGCGTCCTTCTCGGCGAGTTCGGCCTCGACCTGGGCGAGGATGGATCGCAGGTAAGGGGTATCCTAGTGGCAATATTGTCAGTTTCTAAAGATTAGGAAAAGCAAGGTTGTAAATCGAGGCTTATATATATATATATTTGCATTATATAATTATATATATCGCGGCGGGGATATAATCGTACCTCCTCGGGCTTGGTCCACTGGTCCTTGGGAAGCAGCTTGTGGGTGTAACTGCACTGGACGGAGCGGCGGATGCGGTAGACACGCTCGTAGGCCTCCTTGGCGGACAGACGCTTCAGGGCGATCTGGACAGCTTCGTTTTCCTCTTCGAGGAGATCGTCGTATCTGATTATGAGGGAGAGCATAGCGTTAGCAAGGCCTGGCTCCATACCGCCCAATTCGAGGCCAGCAATTCTTTTTCAATAACATATTCCTCCTCTTTCCATGCCCTTATATCATGCTTCCTCCATTTCCATTGGTGACATCCGCGCAAACAGCTTCAAAAGGATTCGGTTTCGTACCTCAGACCGAGCTGGCGGTAGCCGGCAGCGCTCGCATACCAATTGGCGGCGGGCGTCAGTAGCTTGGTCAGCCAAGGCCGCTTCAAGACGTAAGGAGCGAGAGAGACCATGTCGGGCGAACTGTGAGGGGGCGGCGAAAGAGAGGAGATGCTGCGAGAGAATCGGATTGGCCTTTTTCGTGAGAATGCGCGAAATGGGATGATTCGGCGGGCCGCAAAAGTTGGGAGAGCTCGGGATGTCACGTGCAAGGTGCTCAAAGTGGCAGCGTTTTTGGTGGGGGTTTATTCTGGCCTCAGTAATAAACGGTGAGAGAAAAAACGGTTTGGATATACCAGCCCACGGAGGGACCCGGAAGCGAGCCACGCCCGATGTGGGGAAGCGAGTCCGGCGCTTTTAATCACGAACTTGGCTCTAGGCTTGGATTGCTACGCGGAAGATGCAGGACAATGGCCCGTTGCATTCGTCTTGGGGGGGTTGCTTGGAGGGATGCTATACGTCAGCATGTGATGACAATGCAGTGATAGAAGCATGCAAGGAGAACAGCCGAGCGGCATGTGAGGATGCCGATGGGCTTACGCTAAGAGTTGTAGGTATATTAAGTGAGATCAGATCGACCGGTGCTCGTCATGTTCAAATTACAAGCAGCGAGGCTGATTTGATGCTTGCTTTTTTGTCGGCGCCAGTTCTAAATGCCCTGGGCCCTGGCTAAATTTGCGTCATTTGTCTCTGACGTAGTGCCATTTTTTTCTTCCTTGGCCCCCCTGCATTTTTGCGAGCTGCGAACTTATGCCCTGAAGAGTTGAATCATTGTTTCTGATTTCTACGGGCTGCTGAGTCGCTAGCGCTAGTGGTTTGCTCGCTGAACTGACAGTCACTTAGCGCTCAAGTCCAGAGGAAATAGCACCGAACCCCCCCGCCTTGGCCCCAAGCCAGCACTTCACAGTTGAAAACGCTGGGGACCGGCCCGGAGAAGCGTGGGCCAGCGTTAAACCGATTGCCTGCAGCCATCTTTCTTTCGCACTCTCCACAACGCTCTTCCACTTCTTTCCACTCCCACTCTTCATCTTCCTCTGCACCTTTTCTCCTCCTGCGCAGAACGCCTCCTTTACTCCCCGACCAGCGCGATCCATCCCACGGCCTCAGCCGCTCTGGGCGACTCTCTCTGACCTTCGCACAAGTCAATGGCTGGCGGCGTTCGCTAGGCAAGGACGGTTACTGCGCGTGGGAGCATTCCCCGCAGTACCCGGACTTCCTGGACCGGACGGATCCTCGATTTGAATATACAATAGACGTCGACAGCGGGATTGGAGGGAGAGTTTACAAGTATCTTCTTTTTATTCTCTGAATTATCTACGGGCAGAGCCGTGGAGCGGAACTTTGCCTTTATCGGCCGCGCTAGGAACTGTTCTCCAGAGGGACGCAACAGGATCAGATTCAGAGAGAATCTTGATATCATCGCCGACAGAATACGACATAACCTCGCTACGAGATTTCAAACCCCAACCCCGACCTAACCCTCTACAAACACCGCTTCGATCATCGCAACATTAGACTTTTTTCTTCTTCTATTATTTTCTTTTTCCCATCTTTTTAGGAGGGTGCTATGTCTCACGACCAGTCCCCCGAACCAACTCAGCCTTCGCCTGCAGATCATGCGTCATCTCCCTATCGACTCGCCTCTGTCGCCGATTCTCCAATGCCCTCAATAGCCGGGGGTCTATCCCCGCTGCACCGTTGGACACTCTCCGCCTCCGATTCCCAATTCAATGCCATATCAGGTGCCATTGGTGGCTTCACGTCCGGCGTTGTGACTTGTCCGCTGGACGTTATCAAGACTAAGCTGCAGGCCCAGGGCGGCTTTACGCTTATAGACAAGGGGCGGCATGTCGGACATCCGAAACTGTACAATGGGCTGATAGGAACAGCCAAGGTCATCCTCCGCGAGGAAGGGATTCGGGGCCTCTACCGGGGTCTGGGCCCGATTGTGCTTGGATATTTGCCAACCTGGGCAGTGTGGTTTACCGTTTACAACAAGAGCAAGACGTTCTTACACCAGTATAACGGTACGTAACTCCGTCGGATATAAACCATTTCGGGCTGTTTTACAAGCTGACTGATACCTCCCATTTGCGAACAGAAAACCCACATATCGTGAGCTTTTGGTCGTCCATTGTCGCTGGTGCGAGCAGCACCGTTGTAACGAACCCAATATGGGTTATCAAGACCCGTTTGATGTCGCAGAGCAATCCGAACGTGGCTAGAGGTCACCACGCATTCGCTCGGCCTGGTAATACCCCGACAGCAAGGCCGACTCTCCATGACTGGCACTACCGATCAACTATTGATGCGGCAAAGAAGATGTACACTTCCGAAGGCCTCTCTTCGTTCTACTCTGGTCTTACACCTGCTCTTCTTGGCTTGACGCATGTTGCCGTTCAGTTCCCCACCTATGAATTTCTGAAGACGACATTCACTGGGCAGGGTATGGGTGAAATCCAGGAAGGAGAAAAGGCTCACTGGACGGGCATTCTGTCTGCTTCTATTCTATCGAAAATCCTAGCCAGTAGTGCGACTTACCCGCACGAAGTCATTCGGACTCGGCTGCAAACTCAGAGACGGCCGATTGCTGGCGAGACTTTCCTGGTAGATATGGCGGCACCAGGAGCAAAGGCAGCATCGGGGCCGAAATATAGAGGTGTCGTCATGACATTCCGAACCATTCTCTACGAGGAAGGATGGAGAGCGTTTTACGCTGGAATGGGCACCAACATGATGCGAGCCGTCCCTGCTGCCACGGTAACAATGCTCACATACGAATACGTCATGAGGGAGCTGAACAAGACGAAGTTTCACGCTCAAGAGTTAAAGCGGGCACTGGAGGAGGGATCTTGAAACAATCAAGGCCATCCATTAAACACGGAAAAAATTCGCTGCATTAAGATTTTATCCGTGGATATTTTTCCTTACTCCCCCATTTCCAAATGATCATGGATAAGGGGTTTTATGAAACAATGAGCAAAGTATCATGGGGGGTCAGATATACCCTTCTTTCGGACCTCCCCCTTTTTTCCAAGTTTCTGGGCAAATTGCGGGTTATAGAATCGCTTGAAGTTTTGTAGCAGAAGCAGCACACAAACATATTGAGATTTTTGGGCCCAGTAACCAACATTTTTCTGATAGCCCGTTTTTTTCTCTCTTCCTATTTATTCGGCTCGATTATCGTTTTCATTATTCTTTTAGTTTATTTCAGTTTTTTCGATTGATTTCCTCCTTTTAGTCTTAAGCGACTATTGCATCCGGGAGGGAAAGGTGGTGGAGGAGCGTTTGTATTTTCCTGCGGAAAGATAGGCAGGCAGGCAGGCGGGATCAGGGAAGGGATTGGGATAGGCTTTTGATTTGCTAGGCAAGCTATCTGTGTATATCTAGTGACATAGGAAGAGCAGAAGAATTCGCTATTAAATGATCATGGTATTTTGGCACCTTGAATTTCTCCTTTTTGGCTGCTATTTGATTTTTAAGACTGGTGATTGAAAGGACAAGAGGGCTTTGTTTAAAGTCGGCTATGGTCGGGTTAGATTTAGAATGTGGGTATGGGGATGGCGTGGATGTGGTTGTATAAAGGTTTGAGTAGCTCTTATGTGTTGTATAACATATGGCTATACTACCATAGCAATCTGTTTACTCTTTTGTTTCTTTTATATGTATCTAGCTTTAAACATCTGCTATGAAATACAGCTACAAGTGGCCCATGAATTTAAAGAAACGCCGTACACAATGTAATCCCAATAAACACCACTTAAAGCAAATAACACAAATAGTTTTCTCTTACACCCTTCAATGACCGCTTTCTCTTACAGCATGGCCTTGGGAAAGTTCTTCATCGCCTGCCTCACGCCCAAGTCGCCGAGAATCTCCTCGGCGCCACCGAGGATGGCATCGAACTTGTACGTGCGGTTGAATATCTCGACGTACTTGCCCATGCCGGACTGGGTCAGGCCGCGGCCGCCCCAGATCTGGACGGCTTCGTCGGCGACTTCGTGGGCGGCGCGGGTGATGCTCATCTTGAGGAGGCCGATGGGGCCGGCGAGGTGGAGGGCCTGCTGCTTGTAGGGCATGTTGCACATTTGGTAGGTGATTGTTTCGAGCCAGGACTGGTTGGCTTCGACGAGGGCAATCATCTTGGCGAGCCTAGGGAGCGAAAACTTGTTAGATACTCTGCTGATTTTGGGTTGATATTCACGCCAGCTTTACTACTCACTTTTGGCGAATGACGGGCTGGTCAATCAGACGCTTGCCAAAGACAATGCGCTGGTTTGCCCACTTCAAGCACTCTTCCGTGATGAAGCGCGAGGCGGCAATGGAGCTGCAGGCCATGGCCCAGCGCTCGTGGTTGAAGTTGCTGAGGATGACGTGGATGCCCTTGTTCTCCTCGCCGAGCAGGTTCTCGACAGGGACCTTTACGTTGTCAAAGGTGATGTAGGCGGTTCCGGCGGTGGTGGAGTACGAGGTCTTGATGGATTTGGTCTCGACGCCCTCGCCGCGCTCGATGAGCACTACGCTGAGGGCCTTGCCGGTGCGGACGCCGACGACGAAGTAGTCGCAGAAGACGCCGTTGGTGATCCACTTCTTGGTTCCATTGACGATCTGCCAGGGATGTTAGTGAAGGGATGGTTTTGCGTGTGAGAGATGAACTTACGTAGTGCTTTCCATCGGGCGTCTTCTCGGCAGTGGTGCGAAGACCGGCAACGTCAGAGCCGGCAAAGGCCTCGGTGATGGCCAGGCAGAGCTTCTTTCTGCCGCTAAAGACATCGTCGACAATCTTCTTCTTCCAGGGCCCCTCGCGGGCAAAGTTGAGCACGGCAGTGAGGCCAATGGCCATGCCGGCCAAGTTGCCGTCCTGGAAGCCGCGCATCATGGGCCGGGTCATCTCCTGGCACATGACCATGTCGTGGAAGTAGTCAAACTCCTCGCCTTTGACGGCGCCGTTGAGGAGGTTGACGCCGTGGAGGTGCTTTCCGGGGCCGAGGCGCATGTGGATGACGCCGGACTGGCTCATCTTGTCAATGACCTCCTGGCTGACATGGCGGCCGGTGGCCTCACACTCGAGGGCCTCGGGCTTGACGACCTCGTCGGTGAAGATGCGGATGGCCTTGCGGAGGGAGTGGTGCGAGTCCTTGAAGTAGGGGCTCTTGAAGTGAGGCGTCAGCCACAGGGGCTCGGCGTAGGGGACCGGGCTGAGGTCGCCGGGCTGCGGGGTGATGACTTCGGGTGCCTCGCCCTCGACGGTGCCGATGGCCAGGTCTGCGTAGCGGGAGAGCACCTCGTGGCGGTGGAGGTTGTAGAAGGCCGAGGTGGCGTCCTGGCCGGCGATTTGGCGGAGGACGCTCTCGCCGCCGGGGTGGGCGTCGACGAAGTCTGTGAGGTCGTAGACGACGTGGTCGATGATGCACCAGAGGGAGTCTTCGGAGGTGTGGTTGCGAACCTCTTCGCGGGTGAAGGTCTTTGCTGGGGGAGCCATTGTGGGTGGATGGATTTGAGCTGAAAAAGGAAGAGAGAAGAAAGATGGAAGTAAAATCACAGAAAGAAAGAGAAAAGAAGACACAAGAAGAGGAGTAGATGAAAGGGTTTATACGAGAGCTAGATCAATTGCATTTAATAGACACAGCGGCGGCTCATTTCGATTTGCTTGAATCTTTTTGAGTTCTTGCCGCGAGCCTCGGCTTGGGGGCGCGGGTACCTGGGGTGAAATAGAAGGGCCACCATTGGCTGGAGGGCATCTGAATAGCTCTGCTACCCCTGTTAGTGCTCCGGGAGGCAGTCCTGTCTTTGTCTTAGCGCTGGTAGAAGATGGAGATTTCCCCTTCTACTTGGCATTTGGAGAAGCCGGAAGCAGAATACGTATTGCTGTCTTTGGAGGAGGGGCAGTGGAAGAAGTATGGGGTTGTTTGAGTTCACTGTGGACTTTGGGCATTTGATTTGATTTTCTCGTGCTAATACTGGTGAGATTTCGATGTGTTGGCCTTGTCATGCTCCAATACCAGATGCAGAATTCAGGTACGAGGCGGAAGAGATGATTGCTAGTATGCAGTTCCGTGCTAAATGTTAATTTTGAGTTACATCCAACTCAAACTCGGTAATACTACTCCATATTTGACGAACGATTGCCCAGGTTAGCATCTTGCTGTCGCAATTATTGGTTGACGATCTTGAGCCTCGGCAGAGATCGGTAGTGGGTACTGCTGCATCGTTGTTGGCCGTGGGGTCAGCCTCATTTCTACTTGTGATGCTGGGCCCTCCTCTTGCTTTTTGTTTATCCTTAATTTCTAATGGGTGCAACACATTCGTAGTTGGCAGAATATGTCATGATTTTAAATCAACTGTGGTATAGGGAACATAAAGCTGTCAGAGCGGATGTTCTATACTACGAACCGAGAATCACAGCCATCGCACTAAAACTGAAGACAGGCGCTATTCTAAACAGGGCTGGATGGACCCTGAAAATGAATCCGCCCGAAGCCATGGAAAACCCACTTCTGCCTCAGTGATTGAACGATTTATTCGGAAACCGGCGAGAACTTTTCCTCGGCCTCTTCCTGCCAGTAACGCCAAGCTTTTGAAGCAAGTATAAGCCTGCAGCGTTGGCTATATTGCGACTTGACGAAGCCGATATCGAGTACAAGCACATGTTCCGTTCCTGTACATCACGCCTTGGTACGTCAGATCGATCAGCGCCCTTTTCCCTGCTTTTGTTTCATCTCCCAGAGTCCAGCAGCCGCGCAGTCCAGTGACTGTTGGCAGCGTCTTACACAGCCTGAATGCCGCCCTCATCTGATGAGTGGCATCTATCTTCACTTGCAGCCTCCAGCATAATACACACATATATATGCACTCGTCATAGAATTTTTCTTATTGAAATGCCCATCTACGGGCTAGCTGAGGCACATGTATGTGGCAAGCGCCGGCACTTGGCCACCTCCAGTCACCGGACTCGATGGTCCCTCGTGGCCTGGAGCGAAGCCTGCCTCGTGATCGACCAATAGCGCTCTTCCCATCTATCAGGGCCTCATTATCTCGCATATCAGACAGATGCACATGGATTTTATTTGCGAATCAGTCTCGGCAATTCGCTCGTTTTTACTCTTATCCATCGCTTTGACTCAGCACACCCTGCGTCTGTCTGACTTGCTGCATTCACGCCGCATATCGTCTCACTCATATCATTCATCTGCACCCTTACAGCGCACATATCTACTCATAATCTCGAGCAAAGTCAAGTGACACAACTCATCACACAGCTGCTGGCTTCTGCATCAGCACCGATGACAGGATGGACGCTTATGCAATGTATCCAGTTAGTCTCTCGAAGCAAAGCTCGTCCAGAATATACCAGGACCTCTGGGCAACGCGACTCCACAGCCTGGTGCGGCTGGCATCAGATCATTCGCTAGATAGAACCGTGACCATGGAGACTTTCAGACAGGTATACGCCAATTTTCCACTTGTGCCTTTTTTTGGCGTTTAGAGTCCACTGTTCACCTTACTACTCTACACCTTAGCCACACCGTTTTGTACAACCCCTTCGTGTAACCCAGGCGAACATTCTAAGAACACCAAAAGAACACCACCAAAACTCTTTCAAAACGCTGGAATTATCTCAATTCAGTTACACTGCTACTCACACAGCCTACAATAGCTCAGACAAATCACCCCGGGCTCAAAACCGCACGTAGGCATCGTCGGCGCAGGACTATCCGGCCTCCGGTGCGCAGATATCCTGCTACAACATGGATTCCAAGTAACAATCATCGAGGGCCGTAATCGAATCGGGGGGAGACTTTGCCAAGCGAGACTCGGAAACGGCCATTTAGTGGATATGGGACCCAATTGGATACATGGCACAGACGATAATCCTATGCTGGATCTGGCCAAGCAGACGGGGACTGCCGTTGGGACTTGGGATGTAGCGTCTTACGTTTTTAATGAGTCTGGGGAATTGCTGCCGGTAGCTGAAGGAGAAAAGTATTCCTCATTGGTGTGGGACATCATTCAAGATGCATTCGTGCACTCGAACAAGTCATCTGCAGATATCGACGAGAAACTAAGCTTGTTGGACTTTTTCAAGGAAAAGGTGGTGGACAAGATACCAGAATCTGAGGACGACTTTCAGAAAAAGCGAGAGATGGTTTTGAAGATGTCTGAGATGTGGGGTACCTTTATCGGCAGCCCCGTTGGCCAGCAGAGCTTGAAGTTCTTCTGGTTGGAGGAGTGCATCGAAGGGGGTGAGTTGAAACCTATTCGCATTGATTTCGAGACTCTACTAGCTGTTTTGCAGGCAGAAGGGTGCTAATCATGGCATAGAGAATCTCTTTTGCGCCGGCACATACGAAAAGATCCTCCAAGAAGTGGCAAGACCAGCACTTTCAAATGCCACCATCAAACTGGACTCCATTGTCGACAAGATTTCCTGCCGGACAGATCCAAACGACGAGACCCGAGTGCGCCTGAGAAACGGACAGACGTTGACGTTTGACGAACTGGTTATCACATGTCCGCTAGGGTGGCTGAAACAAAATCTCACCGCATTTGACCCTCCCCTGCCGTCGGTTCTCACAAAGGCGATTGGCTCCATCGGCTACGGGTGCCTTGAAAAGGTCAGCTAGCCAGGACGAATAAAGAGTGGCCTGCATTAGACCGAGATCGCTAACAGTGTCCCTTTTTCCACTTCACAGGTCTACATTAGCTTCCCAAAGGCGTTCTGGCTTCCAGCCGAAGGCGAGGGCCGCAGAGTTCATGGCTTTGCCCAATGGATAGCGCCCGAATATCACGCTGAGAATGCTCGCGGGTGGAATCAAGAATTGGTGGAGCTGGCCAGCATTGCACCCGAGGCAGCTCACCCAACGCTGCTCTTTTACATCTACGGCGAGCAGTCCGAATATCTGACGGCAAAGGTGGCCGCGATTGACGGGCAAGAGAAGAAGGACGCTTTCCTGCTGGAATTCTTCAAGCCCTACTACTCCAAGCTGCCGCAGTACTCTGACGACTCGGCAGACTGCCAGCCCATCTGCTGTCTCGCGACCGATTGGGTGCGTGACGAGCTGGCCGGCCACGGCAGCTACAGCAATTTCCAAGTCGGCCTATCCAACGGAGACGAGGACATCAAGACTATGAGGCGCGGATTGCCGGAACACGGCCTGTGGTTGGCGGGAGAGCACACGGCGCCGTTTGTGGCGCTGGGGACGGCGACTGGGGCGTATTGGAGCGGAGAGTCGGTCGGAAAGAGAATCGTGGAGGCCTACGACATGGCAAAGCAGGAAGAGCCATTGGACGCAGCTCTGTGATTTTGATTTGATTTTGATTCTGATTGTGAGAGACTGCACTCCTGCAGACTCTGCATGTTGATACCGCCTTGTGCTGGTTTATAAGGGTGTACCACACGTACATGCATCTTACTGCAGCAGATAAGTAGCAGTAGTAGTAGAAGCCTGTAAGACTTTCAATGGGGCAAGATAAACTGGCATGAGGCGTTACGGAGTACAGATGAGCCAATTCAATCACACAATCACATATGTATACATACCGTGCGGGCCGTAGGCAGAATCTCCGTCCAGGCTAAGTTGTCCTTCTTCAGCCATCTGCCTTACAGTAAAGTAAGGTAGCATCAATGCTCGGATGCCTGGCAAAGGCCCTCCGTGCATTGCGTGAATGCAGGCTGTGGTTGGCGTTTGGCCTATCTCTTGGCCGCACAAACCACACCATGACCCCGCCGATCCACTGCGAGATGCATATGCCAGCACTCCGGACAGTGTCTGGCCAACCGGTTCCAGGGGAGCAGATGCGTGCGCTGTCCAGGATGGCGCCGGGCTGCATGAGAGCTGATAGGCAAGCGGTGGTTTGCGGCCATTGGACGGCTGCCGTTGCACTGTCGATAGCAGGAGGGTTGCCTAGGATCGAGGCAGTAGCACAGCACGGCCTAATACCTCTATGGCCTCTATAGAGATGTAGTAGGTATTATTAGCTCGTGTCTAGAGCACAGCAGAACAGAACAGAGCAGAGCAGAGTCACAGGCACCAGGCCAAGCGCCGAGACACGTTTGGATCAGATCCAGACCAGGATTATGGGGCTGGTCCACGTATTCTGCGCAGTACGTATTCGCCTGAAAGTATCGCCTCCGGAGAGGCGCCAGATACGAGCTGTAAGTCACTCGCAGCCACGGTGGCACAGGTACCGTCGGTGTAGGCAGTGACATCTCCGGTACTCCAGACTGACGTCGCCAGCTGCTATCGATAGCGGCCCACCGCCAGTGGTCAAATGACGCTGGGACGCCCTGATCTGCCTGCCATGACTCCCGGGAGTGTCACGAGCTAGTGCGTGAATGGGGCCTCCCGGGGCTGTTGATCCAGGCATTGGCGCTGCCGCGGCAGGTATAGCGGCTGTACTGCGCGGTATCGCCTTAACGAGAGCCCTCAAGGCTCAAGGCTTAACGCTCAAGCCCCTCGACTGATTCCGCTAAGCCCCGACGCAACTCTTCCAAAGTTTCATCCTGGCTGGGGGACGATCCTGGCTTTAGGTTCTGGCACGATCTTGTTCCATCTCGCTTCCCATCCTCTCTCATCTCGCATCTCTCATCCCTCTGCCCTTCATCGTTCCTCACACCAAGCTTGCGGACGCTCAACCGACCCTCTTTGCGCCGGCTTCGCTCCTACGGCTGACCTTGCGCCTTTGATGCCTCGTTCTCGATCCGTTCAACCATGAACCTCGTCCCCGCATTTGGCCGGGGGTCTGTTGATATCGCGCCTACCGCAGCGTTTGGCTGGAGCCGGTGACGATCTGGTTGCCGCTCAGTTTCGCTTGCCTTTCCCTATCGTCGCCAGCACGAGCTGCGTCGCTCGCCTTTTCTCCTCTCTATAACCACCACCAAAACCTCAAGCTTCGAAGCAACAAACCTTAATCATGGCTGGGCTTTTCCAGTCATTTCGGAGCTCCAGCATGCCTAAACGGCTGCTGCGGTATGCTTTATCGCGGCTGGAGCTCCTCGATTCAGACGCGTTAGACATGGATAATCTAGATCTGGCTTTGGGTAGAAATACAGTGTTTGAGTTTAGGGACGTTGGAGTTCAGCTAGATGTGAGTGTTCTACTTGTACTTGGAATCGGGAAAAAGAGAGAGGCTGACATTTGATTTTAGAAACTTGAGAAGCTACTGAAACTGCCTAGGACGTTTGCGTTGCAAAAGGCAAAGGTCCTGCTCCTGCGAGTCACCATTCCGATGGATTTCTATACGAGCCCTATATCTATCGAAGTTGATGGCGTGGACGTCAAGTTGAAAGTGCTTGTGTCTGACGCCAAGTCCAAATCAACCAAATCTACCTCCGATGATGCCTCAGCCGCTGTACCAAATACCGTGGATCTTGCGCAATCATTCCTCGAAACGCAGCCGTCGGCGGAGCGAAAGAAACTTGAAGCTGCGCTGGCTGCCGAAGCGCAAGACCTCGGCGCATCTACAGCAATGAGCGATGACAGCAGTGAAGATGAGCCTATCGTGGGTACTGGACAGCCTCTATCGCTGCCGGGCTTCTTGGCGGGTTTTCTGCAGGGAATCATGGACCGAATGCAGATTAAAATCAAAGGCGTTGGATTCCAGCTGGATATGGATATCCCTGTAGACTTGCATTCGCCTGCTACCGAACCCGTGTCTTTCCAAATCGCCTTGGAAGGCATCGATATCGAGGGCGTTACTACAAGAAGCGAGAAATCAGAAGGATCGCAAGCCGCAGCTCCAAAGGAAGGAAAGCGACAAATCTCCTTAGACAATGTCCGCGCTTATCTGGTGTCCGAGGCCAACGTCTTCTCTACCCTAACCCGCTCCTCATCCATGACTTCACCATCCGCTACGTCTTCGCCCCATTCGACAAGGAACCCGCCTTCGAGGCAAACTACATCCTTGTCGTCGGAAAGTCCCCAGGAACCTCATTTTGCGCCATCAATAATGTCATCACGCCATCACGGTCAGTCGACACAATCACCTCGAGAGAGCGTTTATAGCCAGCATATGACTTCATCGCAAGCAAGTATCAACAATAAATTTCTGCCGTCATTGCAACGTAGCTTCAGAGACCACCTGGCCGACGAGCATGATGCGTATCAGCCCGACTACCCCTTGGGAGATAGTGAAGAAGCTCTTGGAATTCCATACGAGTTTGAAGAAAATGAGGATCAAGGCATGCCAGACGACGAGTCTCCTGCGACGCCCCGCGCTTCAATGTACCAAGATTTCAACTCCCCCGAGGATGCAGGTTTCCATTCACCTGAAGATCCTGCGCCGTATTCCTCACCTCCAAGAAATATGTTCGATAGCACGCTATCTAGGTCACAAGATGCCTTCGAGCAGGATTTCCAACCGACCTATCCCATGTCGCGGCAACCGACGGATTTTGAGGTGTCCAGTAATTATCGTGCCCAGTCCTTGGCAGAGTTGGAGAACCAAGACCAGTACGAACCGGAAAATGTGGCCGACGATCTCATGCAATCGCATCTCTATACACATGAGGAGGCAGAGAGCATGTATATGAGTGCTTTTTCAAAGGCTGAGAGCGAGGCTGATATATCCGAGCTCAAATCTTCAAAGCACTCAGATGCATCAACCGTTGAACAAGCGGTTCCGTCATCAGTGGAAGAGGCGGCTCAAGTTCAGATTCCTCCATCTCCTCAAGTTCCTTCCTCTCCCGAGGTTCCTTTGTCTCCTAAGATTCCTTCCTCTCCTCAAGCCTCTTCGACTCCTCAAGCCCCTTTGTCTCCTCGACCTTCGTCTCCTCAAGCTGCTTCACCCCCAGTTTCTTTGAGCCCTCAGGTTCCTTCGTCTCCTCGAGTGCCTTCACCTCCTCAAATTCCCCAGTCTCCTCAAGTATCACCGAAACCAGCCAAGGAATTTGCCATGCCTGGGGCCTGGGATGACAATGCATCCGAAGGTTCATCGGCATCTGATCGGACCATGTCTCCTGAGACAATGGCTTCCAAGCCAGAAGAGAAACTAGAGCACGAAGCCGACGATGCGCTCAAGTCTGAACCGGAGCGAGAGAAGCCGAGTTCTCCTGTTTTTGGCCAGACTTCAATAGCTGAGGGCGTACCGATTGACATCGAAGAGAAACTACAGCACGAGGGCGTGGCTACTCCCAAGGGGCCGACACGAGTTGTCAAGGAAATCCTGCACCTCGACTCCATCTCTATATATGTGCCAACAACACACCAGCACATTGAAATAGAAGAGGATACTTCCGAATCAGTTGCCGAGCTTGCTAGGGCGATGGGCAACTCGGTATATCCTCAAGCGCCTGGAGCCTTTTCCATACACGCGCCGGCCTCCGGCTCGGTGTATGGTCACAGACCATCAATACAGTCAACGCAGAGTGTTGATAACGTTCTGGAGGTCGATTTGTCTCCGGTATCCATCCGCTTCGATACTTCACTCGCCTTTGTGCTTGCTATGATTGTCGGAAGGCTTCTCGAAGCGGTCAAACAGGATAATCCGGTAAAGGTCTCGAGCAGTGGGGCTGAAAACGAGCAACATATGGATAAGACGCCAGAGGTTAAGGTGACTGTACAAGAAATATCTTTGGATTTCCTGAGTCGACTTGGTGGAGTAGCAGATACGCCTCGGCGTCATCTGGACTCTTCGGCATTTATGTTTGCCCATGAGGTCCTTCTTAATGCCACCTTGAGCGGCTTGACTATTGGTGTTTCACCGACTAAGGTACCAGTAGCCAGGGGCGGAACGGAGAAGCAAGATGCCATCCAAACAAAAATCGACCTGCAAACTTTCCGCTTTGGATACGCCAAAGACGATATTATCTCCTTTGATAAGGTCGAGCCGATGAGTACTTCTGTAAGAGATACTTTTATTTCACATGGGCATGATGTTGGCATCAGAATCACGCAAACAAAGAAAGGCGTCAAGACCGAGATTGAAGCGCTACCATTAGCTGTTCGTATTGATCTGCAGAAGCTAGATGAGACATTCAGCTGGTTTGGAGGTCTCAGTAGCTTTCTTAATATGAGCGCTTCAATGACTTCCAGTCCATCGCCTACACCAAAGTCGCCTCACAAATCTGTATCTACGCAGAGACCAAAGGGAGTCCGATTTGATACACCTATCAAGCCTGATGATAAATCCGCTGCTCTCGAAAACAAAATCGATATGCGGATAGGTGGCTCTTTTATTGAGCTCCTTGGCAAAGAATGCAGCTTTATTGCAAAGAGCGGAAGTATCTCTCTCGTCAGCCGAGAAGAGGGCATGGGAATTGTGTGGCGCACGATGCGTGTGTCTGGGCCATATTTGAAAAATTCCATGGCAGATCCCGCCATTATGACCGAGATCAATGGAGTCAGACTGGAATTTGTGACAGTTCCAACCAATTCAGATCTCGAGAAGCTTCTCGAGCTGATTACGCCCTCAAAAGCCAAGTTTGACCATGGCAGCGACGAAATCATGGTTGATACTCTCTTACGGCAGCGAAGGAAGGGTTCGGTACTCAGAGCTACAATAGACACCCTGAAAGTGCGAGTTAAGAACATGGCGCAATTCGAGGTACTGCCAGCTCTAGCTGAAGAAGTGGCCAAGTTGTCTACTGTGGCCAAATACCTCCCAGAAGACGATCGGCCTGGACTCATGACTCTGGCAACCATTCATAAACTTGACTCGAGTGTCGACCTTGGCGGAAGCTTTGGGCTGCTTAGCTGCGACGTCCGGGAGCTTGAGGCTGCGCATATTACCGTTCCATCACTGGTAGCTGTTGCAGTGTCTGGAATTTCCGTCCGACGCAACGAAACAGAGGAGCTTATCAATTCTTCGATCCTGTATACTTCAGCAGAGACTGCCATGAACCGAGGACCAGTTATCATGGCGAGAATGATTGGCGACGACATTGAGCCTGTTGTCAAGCTTAATCTACAGGATGTCAACATCGAGTATCGGGTTCCAACTATTATGGATATCCTTGGTCTGGCAAACGATGCTACGCCGCAGGATTTCGAAGAAAGTCTTGCTGCGTCCGTGGCCAGTCTTGGTGACCAAGCTCATGCCGCACTGGCACGACCTCAGCCTCATTCGCCGACTGAAGTCACTGCTAAGCAGAGTAAGCCGATGACCTTGGACGTATCGTTTCGAGATTGTCTTGTCGGCCTGAATCCTCTCAATCAAAAATCGAAGATGGTCCTTGTATTCACAGACGCCCACCTTGCCGTCACTCTTCCGAAGGACGAGGTCACGAAGGTGAATATGGATATCAATAAGGCCTCAATCTTGTTGACAGACGATGCTACCCTGGACACATCCGATGACCGTGCTTCGAGGAACCCAAGACGGCGATCGTCCTCTTCAGCAGCCCCTCAAGTAATCTCTCTCTGTGCTGAAGGATACGTGGATATTTGCTACATGTCCTCTGCAAAAGTCATTGTCAATGTCGCTCCAGGTCTAGATGGAGAGAAGCAGGTAGAAGTCGAAGTTCGAGATGATCTCTTGGTGTTGGAGACTTGTGCCGATTCGACCCAAACCCTAATAAGCTTGGCTAATGCACTTTCGCCGCCGACTCCGCCAAGCAAGGAGAATAAATACCGGACCAAGGTGGTGCCTGTCCAAGATTTGCTTGCTTCGATATCCGCAGAGGCATTTGGCAAGCCCGAAGGGGAATACGACTTTGACCAGGACTTCTCTGCCGCACGAGAACTGGCTAAAAGCCAATTCGACACTGGTTCTGAAAGTGACGGTTCTCTCCGTATTGAATCGCAATTTTACGGAGATGAAACTGCGGGAGAAGAACTGTTCGATGCCATGAATGTATCCATTACATCTCAAGATACGAGGATGCAAGATACCAACGAGGGAGTTTTAATCTCTGGGCTTGAATCTTCTACTAGCAACGCCTCGGAAGACGGCGAAGGTCTGGTCATCCACGACGACTTTTATAACCGCAATGCCGCTGAAGAGCACACTGCAAAGATTTGGAACTCGAATAAAAACACTTACGACAGAGCCCCCGCGCACATGGTAAAGCGCAGTCCCCTCAAAGTATCTGTGAGAGACGTCCATGTCATCTGGAACCTATTTGATGGCTACGACTGGATCCATACTCGCAATGTCATCAACAAAGCTGTCCATGATCTCGAGCATAAAGCCTTTGATCGCCAAGCAGGGCTCGCCAACGGGCAGGTTCACGTCGAAGAGCTTGAAGACGAAGATAAGATAGATGACTTCTTGTTCAACTCCATCTATATCGGAATCCCAGCCAATCGAGACCCGCAAGAGTTGGCCCGCGCCATCAACGAAGGCCTCGCTGACAATATGACGGAGACAGAATCAGTCGCTACGACAGCTGTGACAGCAACATCAAACCGGACTGTGCGTAGAGGTTATCCTAAATCTCAGCGCCTAAAGTTGCGACGAAGCAAACGCCATAAAATCACCTTTGAGCTTCGAGGCGTCAACGTTGACATGGTTGCATTCCCCGCTGGAACTGGAGAAACACAGAGCAGCATTGATGTTCGAGTAGAGAATCTTGATATCTTTGATCATGTTCCCACATCAACATGGAAAAAGTTTGCGACTTATGATCAAGATCAAGGGGAGCGTGAGATGGGAACTAGCATGGTACATCTGGAACTGTTGACTGTGCAGCCAATAGCCGAACTGAAGGCTTCTGAGATTGTGCTCCGAGCGACTGTGCTGCCCCTGAGACTTCATGTCGACCAAGATGCGCTTGACTTTATTACCCGGTTCTTTGAGTTCAAGGATGAAAGTGTACCGGTTCACACATCGCCAAGTGATGTTCCTTTCTTGCAGAGAGCCGAGGTCAACGACATTCCGGTCAAACTTGACTTTAAGCCGAAGCGAGTCGACTATGCTGGGCTTCGATCAGGCCACACGACTGAGTTTATGAATTTTATCACATTGGAAGAGTCCCGGCTGGTGCTCCGGCATGTTATCATTTACGGAGTTTCTGGCTTTGACCGTCTAGGCTTGACGCTTAATGATATCTGGACGCCTGATGTCCGAAATAATCAGCTTCCTGGTGTTTTGGGAGGTCTAGCACCGGTGCGATCACTAGTCAATATCGGCAGCGGCTTTAGAGAGTTGATCGAAGTCCCCCTCAAGGAATATCAAAAGGATGGCCGTATTATTCGGAGCATATCTAAAGGAGCCGCTGCATTTGCTCGTACCACTGGTACCGAGTTGGTCAAGTTTGGAGCAAAACTTGCAGTCGGTACGCAGTATGCGTTGCAAGGTGCAGAAGAGATGCTTGGCACCGGCCGCCGACCTGAAGAGGCTTGGGATGATGACGATCTCGATGCAGATGATAAGAAGCAAATATCGCTGTACGCAGACCATCCGACAGGCGTGATTCAAGGCATTCGAGGCGGCTACAGGTCACTTGCTAGAGATGTGAATCTGGCACGAGATGCCATCATTGCGGTACCAGGCGAAGTCATGGAGAGTCAATCAGCCAGTGGTGCTGCCAAGGCAGTGCTGCGACGAGCTCCGACCATCATCTTCAGACCAGCAATGGGCGTAACCAAAGCGATTGGTCAGACGTTGATGGGAGCAACGAACTCGATTGATCCACACAATCAACGCAGAATTGACGAGGTAAGTCTTGTGATGATGCCGCATAATCTGTATGGGTACAAAATGGTTTGACTAACAACATCACAGAAATATAAAAAGTATTAATCGAAGGCGCATTACCAAAAAAAAAGAAGAAG